GCAACATTCCGTGGGTTTCCGGCATGTTCTCCTCCTGTCTCCTTGGAATATCCTGGTGTTCCCTGGCTCTCTGATGCTAGGCTGTCATGTGCACATTGTCTGGAACCTTCTAGAACCTTCTGGCAATTTCTGCGCCTTTGTCAGCTGAAGTAGTCCAGCATGTTCTCCATGACTGCAGATGATCCTGTGTTGATGGCTGGGTTCCTCCTGTTCCTGAAGTTTCCGGTACCTTCCGGAACTGTCTCCTGACCTCTGGGCTAGTCCTAAGTGTTCTGGTGTCTGCTAGGTTGGTCTCTGGTCCTAGGTCTGTCTGGTGAGGGTGCTCCTATTGCTGGCATACCCTGGACTGTTCCGGTAGGCCCATGTGCCAAACCAGTTTGGTGCATGACAACGCGCCCAGGGCCGCAGATACTACAGTGTTCGCAATTAGACTGACGCACGAAAGCACGCGAACGATCGAGGCCACATCGCACTTACCTTTCCGTTACACCCAGCCCCTTCCGGTGCAGCGCCCGCGTACAGGGAGCTGATAGCGCCGTACTCGACGGGATACCAGTAGAGCCAATCCTGCCAATACGATCATGACCCTGTTCTACGCTGCAAGCATGTGCTAGACGCAACAAGAGCACTTACCCATAGCTTCAGGTACCACGGACTGGAACGGTAAATTTCGCTCTTGATGTTTCCTGGATCAACGGCGATGGAACTGACATTGTCTTCCACGCAGGTCTTGGCGAGATACGTGCTCAGCATGACGACCGCGACCTTGCTCTCTGCGTACATCTCGATAGAGTCCACGTGCTGCCGTTCCGGGCCTTCGCGGAACGTCTCATAGGTGAGCGAGTGCGGCTTGTAACTTGCAATGGAAGAAAGCCATATGACGCGGGATGTGTCAGACTCGCGACCAGAGGCCGACAGCAGAGAATAGAGCAGGCGGTGGAGGAGGAAGTGGCCGACGACATTGACGCCGATGGTCGCGTCGTATCCTTGAGCCGTTAACGCATCCTTCGACGGATACAGGACGCCTGCGTTCAAGATCAGGCCGTCAAGCTGCGACTCTCTCCTGTGAACGTCCACAGTCTCGCTTAGTACAGACCAAGGTAATGGGAAAAGACTGGTGCGTACTGCTTGAACTCTTCAGCCGCCTTCTTGACGGAGCTTAGGTCTCCCAGGTCGAGCTGCAGGAAGAGCGCCTCCCTGCCCGTTTCCTCGCGCAGCTCCGTGATCGCGTGTTCGACTCTGTCCTTCGAGCGTGCGGCGATGTAAACCTTCGCGTTTTTAAGGAGCAAGCCCCTGACCGTCCCGCGTCCAATCCCGGTGTTTCCGCCAGTGACGACGAAGACCTTCGATGAGAGGTCGGGTAGGTGGTCGGCCGTCCAGCTGGGCTTCCCCGGAAAGAGATGCCGAGCGAACGTCCAGGAGAATTGTGCCTCACGTACGAAGTGAGTGAACACACCCATGATAGAGCGTAGCAAAAGAGAGCTGAACAGAGACGGCGTGAGTACTCAGTACTCAATGTCGATGCATTTCTAGTGCCTTGATATAACCGAGCCTGTGAAAGCTGATTAATTGATCTGCGACTTGTAAATCGCGGGCGCTCAAATGGCAACCATCCCGATCCTAAACTATCATGGATCAGATGCTTCCACTCTACGACGGCCTGTTATAATCATGCAACGCAGACGTACAGGACAGCTGGTGAACAGGGAACTAGTGCTTGAGTGGGACGGGGCCATCCGTCAGGCCGGAGAACTCTAGGTATCTGTTCGGTGTCCACACTCCGGCCATGATGCATGATGGTACACATTCATTCAATATGGGCACTGCGGATTCGCTCCATCACTAATATCCGCGTGGCTGTGCTCTCCGCACACACTGTAGTAGGTACCTGTACCGGGCACAACGCGACCGCTGGTGGCATGTCGCACTGTCCAGGTTCGGGTGCTGACTTAGGCTGCGGACACGACACCAGTGCTTCATCCCAAGCTAACATCAGGAGCGTTGCCTCCGAGGTGCTTGCCCACAGGCACCACAACAACGCCAACCGAGGAGATGATGACGCGGAGCAGGATGCACAGGAGCTTGTGACAGTGCCGCGGGGTTCTGTTGGTGCGTGTTAGGCTGCCCCACTCTGGGATACCTCACGCTGAAGCCGGATGAAGTCGTAATCCTCGTTCCTCGTGGGGGTATGCATATGTCGCCGGAGGCCAGCCACCACATACGCTTTGCAAATCCTCAACGTAGCCAGGCTCATCTATAGGGCGGCGTCGGACAATGCCAACGGCGCAGGGCTAATGCCGAAGTTGCGGGAAATGCGTCGCGCCGAACCTCTTCGCAGGCCTCACTGGCACTCTCCAGACGCTTTGCGTAGTCCAACGCAGTTGCCTTCGGCGGGCCGCACAGCACGCTGGCGTACATCACGGAGTTCTCCGTCGTGCGCAGGCACCTCTTCCCCGGCGTCCTCGGCGTATAATTGAGAGGCGAGCGCTGAGCCTCCGTTCCCGTCGGACCAGCACGATCTGTGACGCTCGGGTGCGGAAGGTACGTCGTACTTGGCAGTTTGGTTCGTACACGATGCATAGCGGCTGGACTCCACATCTACGTCCGCAGAGAACGCATGCGCGGTGCTCAGCTGTGCACGTTGCCGATGGTACGCGCATAATCAACAATTTGCTGTCAATGGGCTGTAGGGGGTCAATTTGCCTACGGCCCTGAGGCGTCGTAAGCTCTGAGGTGAGCGACTTAAATAGCAAGACGAAGTACGCCAGTCACTCACCAAACTCTCCTCTCATATCCTCTCTACACCCACATCACTCTCAATCAGCCTTTACTACCATGTCTTCTACCGCTATTCCGACCAACGCCAGCCAGCCTCGCATCGCCATCATCGGCGGTGGCCCCGCAGGCCTCGTCCTGCTCCTCACTCTGTCCAAGCGCGGCGTTCCCGCGACGCTCTATGAGCGCGACACGGACAGCGAGGCGCGCGCCCATCTCGGCGGCATGCTCGACCTCGAGTGGGAGACCGGCCAGCGCGCGCTGCGCGAGAACGGTCTGGAGGACGTATTCAGGAAGCATTCGCGCCGTGACGCTGAGGAGACTAAGATCTGCGGCAAGGACGGGGTCACCCTGTTCTTCCAGGCCGGCGCAGATCCAACCGATGAAAGTCTGGAGGATGCGCGCCCCGAGATCGACCGCCGCGTCCTGCGCGAGATTCTGCTCGACGCCGTGCCGAAGGACGCGATCAGGTGGGGCTATGCGCTCACCGGTATCCGCCCGCTCCAGGACGGCCAGCACGAGCTCACCTTCGCCAACGGCGTCGTGACCACTAGCGACTTTGTTGTCGGCGCCGACGGGGGCCACTCTCGCCTCCGCCCTCTCCTCTCCACGGCCGAGCCCCTCTACCACGGCGTCACAGGCGCGGAGGTTTCACTCGCCCCCTCTGTCGTTACCCTTCCCAAGAATCACGACATCAGCGAAGGTGTCGGGCAGGGAACCTGCTTCGCAGCCGAGGACAGCAAGATGCTCGGCTTCCAGAGGAACGGCAACGGGCGCATCCGCGCCTACGCGTGGCACCGCAATACGCTGGAGTGGGAGATTCCGCGCGACCCGAAGGAGGCGAAGAAGGTCCTCCTCGACATCTACTCCGACTGGGCCCCGTGGATGCGCAAGTTCATCGAGAAGGCCGACGAGGACGCCATCTACCCTCGCCCCCTCTTCCATCTCGTCGTCGGCCATCGCTGGGAGCACAAGCCCGGCGTCACGATCATCGGAGACGCCGCGCACCTGATGAGCCCGTTCGCGGGAGCAGGCGCAAACCTCGCGATGCGCGATGGGCTGGAGCTGGGCTTGGTCCTCGCAGAGGCGGTTTCGAAGGACCTTGGAAGGGAGGAGAGAGAGGCGGCTGTCGCAGAGTGGGAGGAGGAGATGTTTGTGAAGGTGGAGAAGTTCGCTGCTCTTACCCTCCGGAACCTCGAGACCATCATCAGCCCCGCTGCTCCCCAGTCCGCTGTCGAGGCATTCAAACTTTCCCTTTAACGCAGACGTAGGGAATAGTAATCGCATAATCTTTTATATGTAGTCCCATCGAACCGTGATTCCGGGAGCCGTATCACTATTGGGTGTTTGGATGCGACTGAAACTGCTACTCACCCGCCCATATTTTCGATGACACAGAAAATATCAATGTCGGCATGTGAAGGCAGAACGGATGTTGACGAATAGACGACGGACCAAGTCAACGGTACGAGGTGAGTGGCAGCTGAGTGCGGGTACCGGGGAACCAACACCACACGGTGGCAGAGCCGAGCGCCGAAAAGCCCGACCCGGAATCGCCCGACCCATGCCGATCCTTAGGCTTGGAGTGTCCGCGCACACGGCCGGTTTTCAAGCAATCTCTCTCATGTTCGCTATATGTTCTCTCCGTCCAAGGCCGTGAGCGGTTCTCGAGAAGGCGCTTGTCGTGAAGCTATTAGGAGCGCTCTATGATCGGCATATAGCATGCGGTCAGCGGGTGCAGTTAGTGGCTGCGACGCTGCCAGGTGTATCAAACTGTCGCGGAGCAACACCGCAGGAACTGCGTGCATGCATAAGGTTGTATTAGGTAGCAAAGCTCATCACCGGTACTGATGTAGCTCCTTCAAGATTGGTGATGAATGTGTACGCACTGTTGCTGTCCCTTGCTGACTGTTCGTAACCAGACGTTTCTTCGTCGACAATGTAGGAATATCCCACACACGTTGGTGGAGGAAGAACGCGTATAGCCATATGCAGACTTACACTTGATCTAGCAACTATCACACATTGACCGCAGGCTCTTCCCCGTGCTACGCTCGGGCCTCCGAAGGCAAGCTTGGGTTAAGTGGAGAAGACGAAGACCACGTAAGCCCAACCTGCCTTGCCCTCTACCTTTCTCGTGGTACTTCTCACCAAACGAATCTCTTTCGTCTCTTTTCTTAGCTTTGCCTACCCACTTGGTTGAAGCTCTGTTCTTCTACATTCTCCATACGACGAGCGACGAGCGCTCGCTGTTGTAAATCATCCCCGCGGGCAAATCCGACACGCTGCGACCATAGCTCCGTACGTCAATCACACAACTTCAGCTCATCCAAGAACTCACAGTAGTGTACCAGTACTCGCGGCGTGCCTTGTTTTGGGGCACCGCGTCGAGCCCACCCACCAAATCCGCCGTGAGACGCACCTCAGCATGAGATCACTACTGGCGACCATCATCTCCTTGTTTTTCGCTTCCGCTCCAGTGGGCGCCTTCGCCGTCCTGCAGATCGACACCCCATCTCCTGCGCCGACACAATGCGCTCCTGCTATTCTGCAATGGAGCGGCGGCGCTCCGCCATACTTTCTAGCCATAGTTGGTACCGGTGACCTCGCAGTCGCATTACAACGCTACGACGGCCTCTTCGACACATCGTTTCTTTGGAGCACGAACATCACCGCCAGGACCTCGATCGCACTCACCGTGACGGACGTTACCGGCACCCTCGCGCAAAGCGCACCCTTCATCATACACTCGAGCTCGGATATCAGCTGCCTTGAGAGCTCTGTGCCCAGCTCCTCCGACATCAGTCGTGTTCTCGATTCTACCACGTTTGAGGCATCAACAAGTATGTTTCCCGCGGGGATAACCGCCGGAGCATCGGCCGGTGTGTCTGGTGGTGCGGGCGCGACCGCCGTTGCAACTGCTGGCGTTGGCGTAGGTCCAGGAGGTGTGTCTGTCGGTGCGTCTGCGGGAGCTGGCGGAGGGACCGCCGGGGCAACAGCCGTGGCGACTGCAGGGGTGAACGAAGGGATACCTCCGGGATCATCTGCGGGATCTGCACCCACGAGCACATCCAAGGATTCCACGAGCACAGGCTCCTCTAGCACAGGCTCTACCAGCACGGAAGCTACGACCTTATCCACAACTTCACCTACCGGCATCTCTTTCCCACTCGTGACTAGTACAACCTCGGACGCACTCTCATCTCAGCCAAAGCATCCTCTTCCAATGGGCACGATCATGGGAATTGTCGCTGGCGTACTCATCGTCCTCCTCACTATGGTCGCCCTGCTGGTCTGGAAGCGAAAGCAGGCGGTGCGCAGTGCGCCACACGCCGAGAGCGCACCTGGTAAGTGAGGATCTGCCTCGCAGCACCAGAATGCCGACGTTGACGATCCCTGCGACAGATGCCGCGACGGACCTGATGAAGTCCGCGTCGAGCACCACGCAGCTCGTCGCTCAACCTTATCGCCTGAAGCCGCTGCCCGCAGCGCCAGAATACGCCGCAAACGCTGCGGACCCGCGTTATCAACTTGGGGCGGTACCGCAAGCTGATTCGCAGTCCGAGGCAAGCGATAGTAATGCTACGATCCATGATGTCTTGCAGATCGGACGTCCTGCTACAAGCGCCACCCTTCTGGACGTCGATGGTGCGTGTTCAGCAATATGTCCTATTCCTTGCAGCGATTCATGCTACGACTCATGCGCGTGGCTTGCTTGCAGTTACTGACACATATCCTGTTTCCTCACCTCGGCCTTTGTATGGTTTCCCGAGCTCGGACCCTCCAGATAGGAGAGCGCTCAAGCACGGACGAGGAGATGCTGCCCGCGCACGTCCGGTCCCAGTGTATCAAGCTCTGCGAGCTCAAGAAACGGATAGTGGCGTCCGTTTGGCTGGGGGAAGACCTGTCGAGGCGGATGCCGATGGCGCGAGCGATGTGCATTCGACGGTACCTCCACCTTACGCTCCATATTAAGGACTTCGAACTTTGTGTACTAAATGTTTAGGTCGGACATTGTGTATGTAATATATGTACGGACCCACAGCGTGATAGACATTGTTTCAGGTGTACAACTACTGGAATAAATGCAGATTTTTCTGAGGGCGGAGTGAAAATATGCAAACTTCCTGTCGAACGGCGAACCACAACGCCCCCAACCGCACACCATCCGCGGGCTTGCAAGCAATACATAGGTGTGATACATTTACATAAAACGAAACGAGATACCGCATCCGGCGCGCTACTGTGGCGCACCAGCCTGAGCCATCGCATCCTGCATGGCCTTCCGCGCCGAATGCGGAGCGCCAGGGCCCATGAATGCCTCCAGGTTCTGTGCTGTGATCGCAGCCTCCGGCTCCACCCTCGCGAACATTCCTTCCTCCCACGCAGCGACGGCAGCGTCCCTCTCCTTCCAATCCAGACCCTTCGACACAGCGTCAGCCAGCACGAGCCCGATGTCCAGGCCATCCCGCATCGCAAGGTTCGCGCCGGCGCCCGCGAACGGACTCATCAGATGCGCCGCGTCCCCGATGAGCGTTAGCCCAGACTTGTGCGCCCAGCGGTGGCCGACGGGGAGGTGGAAGAGCGGGCGGGGGTAGATGGCGGTCTCGTCGGCCTGCTCGATGAACTTGTGCACCCACGGCGCCCAGTCCGCGCACAGCTCGTGCAGGACCTTCTTTGCCTCCTTCGGGTCGTGGGGGAGCGCCCAGTCGAGCGTGGTGCGGTGCCAGACGTACGCGCGGATGCGCCCGTCGCCGTTCCGCTGGAGCGCGACGATCTTCTCGTCCTGCGCGAGCATGCAGGTACCCTTCCCAACACCCTCGTTGATGTCACGGTTTTCTGGTAGCGCTGCCGCTGCGGCGGGGAGAGAGATCTCGGCGCCGGTGACGCCATGGTAGATAGGGGTAGCTGAAGAGAGGAGGGGCCGGATGCGGGAGTGCGCACCGTCGGCACCTACTACGACGTCCGCGACGACGACGGCGCCGTTCGCAAACGTCAGCTCGTGCCGGCCGTCTTCGAGGGGCTTGATCGACGCGAGGGCATGGCCCCACTTGATCGCGTCTTGCGGGACTGCGTCGTGGAGGACGTCCAGGAGGACGCGTCGGTCGATCTCAGGGCGAGCATGCCTCAGGTCGTCGGCGTCCGGCTCGGGGCTCTCCTCATGGAAGATGGGGACACCGTCTTTGCCGCAGATGCGCATCTCCTCGGCGTCTCGGCGAGAGTACTTGCGGAAGGAGTCCTCCATGCCGTTCTCGCGTAGCGCGCGCTGGCCGCTCTCCCAGTCGAGGTCGAGCATGCCGCCGAGGTGGACACGCGCGGTGCGGCTAGCGTCGCGTTCGTACAGCGTCGCGGGAATGCCGCGTTTGGAGAGGGTGAGTAGAGTGACGAGTCCGCCCGGGCCACCGCCGATGATGGCGATGTGGGGCTGGTTGTGGTTTGAAGACGTTGGAGTAGACATGGTTTCGGGGAGAGTTCTGGTGGCAGGCGGGGTGGTTCGTTGGCTGGGTGCAGGCCACATCTGTCCCTTTAATGCGCACACTATACCTCGGCGTCGTTGCCGTGAAGACTCCGAGTCGTAGTCACCCGCTGCTCGACGTGCCACGGCACGTACTCCTTTGATGCAAAGCACGGAGCCGCGCGCAGCTGCTATTGATCGTAGTGATTCAAAGTGACTCTTCTTGGCCTGGGTCTGGTATACAGCTGTTGGCCGTTTGACCGCCTCACCTTGTTGCCGTAGTATGACGCGGCTGAGGCCCGGTATGAGTTTCATTATTGGAGGGCTTTCGGTTCGGATTTGGTTCGGAGAGTCAGCATCTGACTCGTTTCTGATAGATGAAGCTTTTACTTGCTCAAAGGAACACTGAGAATATATCGCTATGACCGTAACGAAAACGCTCACCCAATGAACGAACAGACTCGAGAGAGTTCGAGTGGTGGTTGAACGTCAGCGTGGTTACGTGCTTGGCGCCTGAGCCGCTCTCCGTGCAGCGGAGTTCGTGCCGAGTCTCGCCGACTCAGGGAGAGTGTCACATTGGCGCCGATATATAGGGCCTCTCTCTGTCGTTCGTACAATGATCCTTTCTCAGTGAGTGCATGAGAAGATACTCCATGATGAGAACGCTCACCTTCTTACATACGTCGTGGTCGACTGCTACACAGTGCGCATCGCTGCGAGTCGCCAGGGTAAGACTCGCAAAAATACTGCCCTTCTCAAGCGCCAGCGAAGTCAACGTCGTACTAGTGAGTCGGTCGTAACATGATACTCACGAGTAGAGCTTAGTTTGAAGCAGCACGCGTCGAAAAGTTCTCAATGACCCAGCTTATTGAAGGCGTGCATGCATGCCATGACGAAATGCCGCAACTCACACGAACCACCAGCGCGTTCAACTGCGGTCTTACGGGTTTGCTCCTCACCCCGTAGTTCCTTTGGCAGAAGAGTGATGCGCACAAGTCTCTGCAAGCTTCTTCGTCCGTATTCAGCACTTTGGGCACAAGGTATAGCAGATGACGACTACATTCGGGAACGAGACTGCATTGGTGCCAGTCCATGACGTCGCGGAAACGACTCCGGTATGGCCCCGTGTTCAGTCTTAGCCATTTTGACAGATGCTCCTCAGGTCGTATCACTCATCTCCAGCGTCTGAGTCCCCTCGATTGTATCCTACGGGAGCGTGGTGACTTCCCCATCATGGGATGCGGTGAATAGCCGTGCTTTATCCACAGAGCAGCTCCCCCGTAGATCACGATAAGTTGTTAAGGTCGATTTGGATGGAGCTTCGACCTACAGTACAAATACTGGTGAGCTTGATAAGGCAAGGTCAAAGCATATCCAGTAGCAGGTACGCACAGACGGCCATGACGTACTTTACTCACACGCAGTGGAAGCAACACTATGACGTCTCAAACTTTATGAGTCTGCCTATCTCCCTTGACGTTCTCTCGCAGACGACCTCAGGGGCTATCCCCTTGCACACTCGCTCGAGGTCTTCACGCCGGTGAGTCTCTATACAACTCTGACAAGCGATCCATCGTACCTTCGTGCTACTATGGCTTCCTTGGCAAAATACTAATCCGTATAACTCATAGATATCGTCGACAAATATCTCTTGGGACTGGGGGGCTATCATGATATCAACATGGAACACGGGAGCTATCGCCCTCAAGAGACTACCGCTCGCCATGTTCTCGATTCTCGTTTTCGCGGCGCTCAACGCGCAATCGCAGGGAATCACAATACAGTTACCGACCAACATTTCGCAGTGCGTCCCCGCCACCATAAAATGGAGTGGCGGCGTCGCGCCATACGCTCTCATTGCCAGCCCGAACCCAGTAACCGTCGTCGACATTGTACGAGTGTACATCAACATCACCGGCAATTTCTTCGACTGGACGCCCAGCTTCGACACGCAGACATACGTCTTCCTCTCCCTCAGTGACAGCACGGGCGCCGTTGCGCGCTCGGGAGGCTTCATTCCCTCTGCAAGCAACGACACCAGCTGCCTTCGAAGCCAACCGGCCCCAACTTCCTCGTCTCCCGAAGCCACCTCGACTGCCGAGGAAGGCGAGAGCGCGAATTCCCCTTCCACCGACACTGGTTCTCGCGGACTAAATGGGGGCGCTATAGCCGGGATCGTCGTTGGCAGTCTGGTGGCCGCTGTCGTGCTCGCCTTCTTGGCTTTGTGGATATCTAGGATGCGCGCTCTAGCAGCTCGTAAACGCGCTAGGGCTTCACCATCGCGTACGTCATAATCCAGCCTGATACACCGTCAGCATTAACGTACACGACCGTACCAGACTGGCAGGCCCTGTCGGATATTTCCTCTAGGAGGGGAGGTTATGCCTTCGACGGCGGGGCTGCCCAGCTCGAGAAACACGCGGACAAGTCTGCCTCACCAATCTTTGCCCTGAACCAGTCGAGCTCGCTCGTTGAGGACGTGTCACCCCATCGCGCTGTGGCGGAACCTCTCCCGCAGTATCCACCCACTAGCCCTGTTTGAGCATTTCAATATGGATGTGAAGTTAGCGGTGAGTACTATCACTTCCAAGCAAATCGCGTTGCTATATTGAACTTCGGTTCCCCGTACAGATTATTCAGGCCAATTGTGGGCCGTACTCCAGCTAGTCGGTTTCATCGCGATCGTACTTTGAAGTATACGCCAGCGTACAGTACGAGACCCCGCACCCTCAGTGTCTCAGCGAAATGTGACAAGGATCTGATTGCAATCTCTTCTGAGGATCGACACGCTCTCATGCGGCTTACGACTTCCGCTCTAGGTCCGTAGGACTCCGCGCTGCCTGTCATACCGAGATCGCAGCGCTGTTCACTAGCGTCATTGCTATCCGTGTCTCAGCGTTCAGTGCTATCCCGGTACTTTTGAAGGCGCTCTCCTCGAACCTAGCGGCAGTAGTAGTGCCTCGCATCACCATGTGATCCTCGGCCGCAGGCCGGCGAGGTCGTTCTCGGTGTACAATCTCGACGTGCAGATTCGCCACTCATCCTCATGCCGGCCGTGCCGAAAGTCTCTCCATTCTGACGAGCAAACAGAGTATGCAGTATGGGTGTCTACTTACGCTGGGGAGTCGGTTTCTATAGATGACACTGCCGGCATCCAAGCCGGATCGAGGAGCTCGGGGCGATTTTGAACCACCCATACTGCACATCGGGATCACAGGTATGGCGGCTCGCCCTGCTATAGAGTCATGTCAGTCTGTGCTCGCACGCTATCACAGCGCTACGACTGCTCCGAACCTTACGAACTCGACCACTTTCCTTACCCCATCCACCACCCAAGCTCACAAGGGTTCCCCCGAACATTGTCGCACGTATCACATTGGTGAGCATCGTCGTTAACTCGAGAGCATATCATTGCTTCTCAGTGCTTATGATTGGTTCTATCCCCGCATAGTCTGATAGCTACATGACCAACATGTGGGCCGTCAAGCCTATGGGGATCGCTACTCTGGCGTCCATCATCTCGACCCTCGTCATCTTGGCAGGTCTTGTCCACGCACAAGCGCAAAACCTCACCATACAAACCCCGACGAACGTCTCGCAATGCGTTCCGGTCACCGTCGAGTGGACCGGCGGCGTGGCGCCATACCTTCTCATAACATGGCCCATCCCAATTACGCCTCTCGACATCGCGCAAATACACTTAAACATCCCCGGCACTTCTTTCAACTGGACGCCGACCTTTGATACAGAATCCCGCGCCTTTCTAGTGCTCAATGACAGCGCGGGCGCCTCTACGACCTCGGACACCTTCATCATCGCCGGCAGCGATGATACCAGCTGTCTTGCACGCCAAGTTACTACCACCTCGTCTTCGCTCGCGGCTACTTCGACTGCTGAAGAAGGCGAGAGTGCCGAAACTCCTTCCACGGACACCAGCTCGGACGGATTGAGTGGCGGCGCTATAGCTGGCATCGTGATCGGAGGCCTCGTGGCGGCTGCGCTGTTCTCCTTCCTCGTGATGCGGTGGCGGAGGAAGCGCGTCCAGGCTTTCCGCAGGCGCCACAGGGCTACGAGGTCTGGTACGTCCCACATGCGCCTAGTATCCGTCCGGAGAGCATACTGACGCGTCTGTGCGTGGCGCGCCCGCAGAGTGGCAGCCTATGGCCGACATTCCGCAGAAAGCGGAGTATGCCTTCAGCGGCGGCGCGGCGCAAGTGGAAAACCAAACGAGTATGCCTGCCCCGCCATCTCCCGCGCTGCAGAGACCCAGCGAAGCTGGTGGCCGCATCGCGCCACGTCGCGTCGCTGTGCCAGAGGAGTCGCCCACTAATCTGGAGCATCAGTTTTGACCTAGGTGCGTGCAGCAGCATTTAAAGTAGACCATACCTGCACATTCATACGCGTGTCTTTCTTCAGGATTGTGGTCAAGCAGAGCGAAGTTCTCAGATCCCGTATGGACTTACGTTTCAGACTCCGAAGTGTACAATGATTAGTCCAGTTGTCTGTATTGAGCGTATCCTATTCTAGAACGTGCTACCATACTCCGTCAACGCAGCGACCCAGACGGGTTTGTTAGTCGCACTTGAAGGGATTGGAAAAGCGTACTGAGCAGCATAAACTACCAGCGGTGTGGCATTCATTGATGTCCGACACGTTGTAATCTTCGTATTGGTGAGTAATCGGTACCCGACATTCATGGTTTCTGATTATAGCTTAATGCGCTACGCTCCACACAAGGCTCTCATTTCAAAAGGTACAGTGAATCATTTGGGTGGCTAGTCTTGCGGCCAGGGGAGGTGATTCCAAACTAAACCTATCGGGCCTCGGCATTCACTAAACTTCCGTTTGCCTCGATACGAAAGTTGACAGATTTTGACGGCAGACACGCTTCTACGCAGCCATGCACTTCAAGAGGATATAAGACACCCTGACTTAGAACTCAGTACCCTGGGACTCTCGAACTCTATATTTGCATATGGATGATCATGATCGTTTCCTTCCGGTGCAACAACTGCGATCTAGACCAACAAAGCACGGCCCTTGGAGCTTGCAAGGAGGCTCGCCGTCATCTTGAGCTTGTCCATGGCCATTCCCCATCTTGTATCGCTCATCTGCCCGCTCATCACTACAGATATTACCTAGGGAGCCCAGCACCGGGTCGGAATCGCTCATTACGCGGGAGATGACGAGGGTACTCCGTAGACAACTGGAGGAGAGATCGTCCCGAAGGAATACATCGGGCGGTGAGTGCTTTCTGTATCGATGCGGTGTCCCTCACTCCTCACACCAATCCTGCTTTGTCATAGAGAGCAAGGAACATCTTCCTATCACGCGCCCCTCTTCAAGTCGCCTTCATCCGTATAAGCCACTGCTGGAGGGTGTTGGGACGGCGAAAGGCTCTCAAATTCCAGGGCTCACATCGATTCGGATGGCCACCTCATTGGTCATTCTGGCTCTCGGGACACTCCCTGGACGTGTTCAAGGTCTCTCGGTCAACACCCCGCAACACGTCACACAGTGCGAATCCACCACTATCAAATGGAACGGCGGCGTAGGACCCTACGATTTGACTATTTCTCCTCCCGACTCCGACCCCCAGAACGTAGTATCGTTCTCTGGGCTGACAGGACTTACGTTTTCTTGGGATACGAACAAGCCCACAGGAAGCAATCTCACTATTTTCCTGACCGATGGGAATGACGGCACACTGGCACAGAGCTCGCCGTTCATCGTCGGGCCTAGCCAGGATGATAGTTGTTTGGGGAGCCAGCCAGGCGGCAGTTCTACACCCCCGATCACCACAACCTCCACGACGATAACCACCAGTTCCAGCAGTCTTGACACTATAGACTCTGCTCCCACCCCAACGCCTTCTTCGTCTTCTCGACCCAGCACATCGAATCCCCGACAACCTCCCACCAGCTCGCCTTCCACATCTGCAGTCTCGACGTCTGTCATTGCGGGATCATCGAAGTCCACGGCGGCAACATCTGGAGCTGAGCGAACAAACTCAAACGCAACATCAACGCCGCCTATTTCCATCAGTTCTGCGTCTTACAACACGACCTCCTCTGCACAGGGCACCCCTTCCGACCCTACCCTCAGCCCCATGACATCCGCAGCTCGTGCGCAAAGTCCACCCACCACGACCTCTATCGGACTCCCCGAACCATCTCAGAGTACGGCGGAACGACATACGTTGAGCACGGGAGCCGTCGTAGGCATCGCGGTTGGCAGCTTTGGGTCGATCATCTCCCTGTTGGTTTGCTGGTTGATATGCCGCCGCAGGCGGGCGGCCGCGCCTGCAAAGTCATCCGGAGGTGAGTCCACACGTCTACACAGCGTCGAACGACACAGCCTGACGTCCGCGTTAGTCGTGAAAGTGCCCGTATTCCCCCCACAGCCGACAACGCCGTCGGCCAAAGGTGCTCACCTGAGGCCAGAGCATTCTAGGAGTACCGAGTCGACCCCTCGATTACCTGCGCAGACGCACTCCTCGCAGCAGTCGCATAGGGAGGTACTGCACAGCGCGACCGATCCGCCCCCGCCGCCTGTGGAGAGGGCACAGTCTATTGTCCCCAGCGATCGCTACAGCGCCCTCGTAGCACTGGCCGGCGCCGCGCCACCCGTGTCCATCGCATTACTGCAGCGCACTTCCAACAGCGCTCAGAGCGCGAGAACGCCGCAGAGCCTGCCAGCCACGCGGGAGCCTCGATACGAGACGGACGGCGGTGTTCGCCTCGCGGGAGGACCTTTGGGCGCTGCCCTAGATGACGATGTCTTGAGCGATGTGCATTCGACATTTCCGCCGCCGTACGATACGTATTGAACATGACAATTGTATTATGTGTTCAGGCCAATTGGGCAGGGCTGTGCGCGGACGTTGTTAAAAAGGAGCGCGTCAAACCAGCCCTTGTATAACCTTGACGAAGACTATGCATGAAGAATATTCTGCCTCAGATTCTCGTAAACACACGTGTAGACTGATGGTACATACCGTCGTCTTGTTCAATCAACTTGGCTGGTGTTTCCTGATGATAGCGGTGCCTGTGCCTGTCTGAACCTGGGGATCGTCGATAAACAGCCGAACGCAGTATCCCCACTGCGGCATCGACGAGACCCCAACGCAAACTACGAGTCAGTGCCTCCCTACACAGTGAGGACTTTCCACGACCGTAACTGCGACAGCTGTGCACGGCACATACACTTCACCGCAGAGCTCGGGTACGACCGCATGGGCGCGACTCACATGCACAGGGTCCGCGCGAGCCTGGTTCCTGGAAGCATCCGCAGCGAAGGACCCTGAACCCTGAATGGCCTCCGCGGACTCATCGTGGAGGCGGTTGTGCTGACGTTCTTCAAAAAATTCTGCATTGCACTGGTAAGCGAGCGAACAGGTAAAATACGCAGTCCCGTTTGTGCTCACCTTACAACCTTGCCTGTCCCTTGCGGATCAGCGCACACACGGCAAGCGCGAATGCTGCTCTGCACAGTACATCATCCATTCTTTGCCAACCCGTTACAAGATGCGATACCCTGAGCCCAAGAACGACGCGCGCAGCACCCGCTGCGGGAACCCATGCTGATGTACACAATGTAAGCTATACACTTGCTGCTTCAAAAGTGCGCCACGATATGCTGCAAGAAGGGATACCTGTTCGTCCGCGTGAGCACATACGAGTATCTTTTTGAAGCACAGAACACTGCGGACGCACTCGTGATCATCCAAGAATCCTCTATCCCGGAAGACGGCGTCTGCGAACTGTGGCAGCGAGAGCCCTGATGTGAACGCAAGCTCCTGGTAGTGCGCAAGCGCAAACTCTAGATGCTGATCGTCGAAGGGTATCCTGCCCACGCTGGCTCAGCACGGCGGGCCGCGGGCGTACAGGGTTGAAGAGACACTCACAGCTCCGCGAGCGCGCGGTTGACGTCCAGGACGGTACATCCTTCCGGGTTCTCGACGACCATGAAGACGTCGCCCTGGCCGTTTTCGAATTCGAGCCGATCCACTGGGGGGAAGGTCGCGAAGGCGCACGAAGCGTTCGGGTGGGCGCAGAGCGGGCCATACTGCGCATAGCGACTTTCCGGAAAAGTCGGGAGCTGCGTGAGCAGGATAGAGATGGAGTCGTGGATCGCCGGCGGTGTCGGTGACGGCGAGGGAGACGGCGTTGGCGTATGCGGCTGGCCCTGCATCCTAGACTGGCTCGTCGCTCCGTACGACTGCGAGAAGTGCAGATAAAAGTAGAGCGGGTGGAAGTCGAGCGGATGGTCGGGGTGCAGTGGCCTGGTGCGCGTGTACGCCCAGCGCGAGTGGTGGTCCGCTATGTCACGAGTTAGCGACGCATTATCCAGACCGACTCGAGACGATCGTCCCAGTGGGGCCCGGTCATATACCGACGCCCCCTGGCGTCCAAACTTGGGTGCCGGGACCCACAGGCCGTCACCAAGCTCCGGGCCCACCGCTGTACGGCGCAATCAGCTGACGCCCGTGATTGCCCGATCAATCCAGCACCCCGCCGGGCCCTAGGGTCGGTGGCCCACACACACAATCACAAGACGAGGCCTGACGAGGCGCAGGCCTCACAGAGGACCACAACGGAGCTGTAACCTTGTGTAACCTTGTAGGTCCAGGGACAACGCAGACCACGGCGAGTTCCTGCCCGACTCACGCGAGCGCCTAAGTCGCTCAGCGCGATTTCATTGGCCAAGCGAAATAGGCGCCCATGAGCATTGGTACACTTGCGCTGCCGGCGGATGCAACGGTCCATTCTCGGGCAAAGCTGGCATGTGTTTCCAGATAGGTCACCAGGAGTGGTCTGACTGCCAGCGCAACACAGTGTACTTCAAGTGAAGAGGGGGGAAATTGCTCACCGAAACATGCGTTAGCCTTGATGCAGCTCCGGATTTCGCAGACGGCGCCATGGCTCACGATGGAGCGGGCGAGTCGCCTGTAGGGCATGTCGCGTGCTGGTGCATTTCCTCGTCGTAAAGGCCGACCAAAACCTGAGACGAAGCACGCCGACCGCCAGATATTATCGTCCTGCTCGGAGAGGTGACGGAGCCGGCGGCAGGTTTGCGCAAATGCGATGAATGTGTGGAGGTCGCCGAGGAGGTGATGCCAAACGTTGATCAGGATCGCATCCGGACAGGCGGAAAGAGACAACATAGGGCAGCAGGGGGCGACCTGCGCAACGGCGCAAGAGGCAAGGTGTGCGATCAGCTGCAGAGAAAATTGTGGTGATGTCGGAGGCGGATGAGAGAAGCGGAGTACGGGATGGCCACCCGTATTCCACAGCGGTGGTGCGGCGGTCGTTGAAGCGTGCCACGGTTCGCCCCCGTCTGGCGTATCTCAGGAGCTTCACACTCTAGCGCGTATGCATGCGGAGACGACGCATGCTGAGAAGAGGCCTTGCCACTGTCGTCCGCTTTTAGTACGGTGAGTGAGATGGCCGTTATCCTGCCAAAAGGTCCCAAGGTGCGCGGGCAGGAGGCGTCCCGCGATCTCCGTGATTTCTCTGACACTCCCAGCATGTTGTGTTCCTGTGATCAGCCAGTGAGTCCTCCTGACTGAGGGCTGTGCGAATACGGATTCGAGTGGTCGTGGAAGAGATGCAGCGCGCAGCGACATTTGCATTCACTGTGCTCGCGACGCTCAGGAGCATCGCCTGGTCCAGGCCCAGCGGCGGAGTGTGAATACCTAGGCATCGGACCTTTAACAACTTGTTGGGCATGCGTCGGAACTCTTAAGGATGGCATCTCCGATTACATCTCAGGGCATATCCGGCTACGGGGGAGCCCGGTCGGGCAATCTCCGATCAAAGCGCCGACCCCGCTGGTCTCAGGCATGCCTCATGTCGCAGAACGGTCGTCACTCTCCTTCGGTCTCCGTCCGCGCTCGGAGGTTTATATGTCCTCCATCTCTTTCTCTTTCGTCGGGAATGCTCCTCCTCCGAACTCCTCATCATGAAGCAGGTCTCTACCGCGTCAGGCTCGACCAGCTCGGGCGCGTCGTCCGCACCTCCTCCTGCTAGTCATGGTCTACGATCTCAGCTCGGCCACCTCCTCCCAAGACACGCTCTCTTCCAGGTTCATGTTCACATCGAGCAGCTTTCGAATGTTCCTTTGATGTCTGGCGAGTTCGGCGTACGATGGAAGTTCAAGAACGCTCAGTCGGGCTCGGGACTCCTGTCGAAGATGAAGGGTCACAGGACATGGTCGGGGCAGAGCAAGGGGAAGGGAGGGGCGGGCGAGCACGACCCAGCGACAGTTGAAGACGGGGAGATGGACGAAGAAGACGAGGTCGACGACTACAGCGCGCACGGCACGGACGACGCCTCGCACTACTTCGATGCGCCCAGGAGCCCGCTGGACCTCGACGACCCACACGCGTTCGAATCATCAAGGCCGCCCGTAACCCCTACGCCCATCATCAACGGCCACACGCAGTCGAGCACATCGTTGCAGCTGCGGTCGGAGGCCCGCGGCATGACTCCGTGGGAGAAGCTGCAGAGCTACAACGTGAAATGGGACCACTCCGTAAATGTGGTGGTCCAGATGGACGTCCATCGTGAAACGGGCGACCTCCTCCCCAATGAGCTGAAGCTCGTCGTTATGCAAGTGAGTCCCTCCTCCCCTTCTCCCTGCCGTGCGCGGGCTCCCTGGGGCGCGGCGCGATTAGGGATGGCTATCGGTGTACTGGGACTAGTGCGGCATACCGATAGCAATCTCGTCTCACGCTCCGAGACACGCGGCGGGATGCTCGGTGGACACGTCCGCAGGGCCGCCGTGACACCGTATCTGTCAGGTTTGTCATGGTAGACGCGCTCGGTCCGCGCCATCAGTTTTGTGTGGCCTGCCTCCGCCCGCCGTAGTCGCGCAATCCCGCCTTGCGCATTCCCTGGCGATTGCGAGAGTGGCTTTTCCACTGGTGTGCAGCATGACTGTATCCCGGAGCGCGATTTCCGGAACCCGCTATTTTCGTAATGTGCTACTTCCGGACAGTGCTAACGTACCCGCAGCGCGTTATCCCGGGAGACCCAGACTCTCCCCAGCAACCCCGAATTGGAGCGGTATACTTGAACCTTGCGGAATACGCAGATGCCGGAAAGGTCACACGACGGTATCTTCTTCGGCAAAGCAAGACGAACGCGACGCTCAAGGTACGAGGAACCGTTGACTGCGACTGCGCATCCGCTAACAATCTCGTAGCTCTCAATCGAATTGGAGCACATAGGCGGCGAAAAGCACTACAAGGCGCCACCGCTGCGCAAAGGCGAGATTCTTGCGTCCGTCTCGGGACTATTGAACAACAATGGCCTGTTCAATACGCGGTTCGCTCGCGAGCTGGACTTGTACGTCGGCGGCGACAAGGCAGAGGAGGACGGCTCGTTCCCTTACGCCGACAAGAACGGGCACGTGCAGCCTGATTCACTAGCCACTTCGTTCGGGCTCCGTACGACAGAACATCTCATCGAAGCCCTGTTCAATCCTGTCCCTAGCGAGTCAGCAGATTCGTCTCCGTTCACCTACTACGCCCCGCCACATCCAGACCCACCCCGTCGTCAGGACTCAGTGACGGACTCCCTTGACGGCTCTACCGGTCGACGGTCTGTCGACAGCAGCACCGGAAGCGCAAGTTACATAGCGACGCCGAGCGAGCACTCCAGCAGTGCAGGATTCGACTACTCCTCCGGTGCAACCACAGTCGGTGCGCCAGGCTCGGACTCGCAGCGCCATTGGTGGCAAAAGATTCGGAGCAGACCGACAACACCCGCGCGGACCACCTTCCGACCGACGACGCCTGCCCCGCCTATGCCTGTCCGCCAATAACACCCCCTTTCCCCCTCCCATGTCCATGCCACGCCCCCTCATGTCCATACACCACCCACCAAGAAGCTCTCCCTACGACCCACCGCCTCCCATCCTTCCGCTTACACTGTTCATGACTCTCACGACATACCCCGCCCTGCCCGCCCGCGCTCCCGTTCGCTTCGCTTTCTCTTGGCTAATGCTTCTTTCCCCCCACCCCGCTGTGGAACCCTGGTAGATGGCCGCCGACGGCCGCTGGATAACTTATGCGCTTTTTAACACGGACGAGGACGTGCGGCCCGGCGCAGGGCTGGGGCCGCGTACTGTACATTCGGTCTGCTTACACATACATACTTTAGTCGCGCGCCGCTGGTGTGCTCGTAAATCTGCTGTCGAACTAATGCCCTCTATTGACTTGGTTTATACTGTATGTGCTGGGGGTGGTGTGGGCCGCGCGTGGGGGCGCGGCGAGTGCTGGTACGTGGTCAGTCACAGCTTGCCTTCAATGTCTCGTTCGCTACTTTATTGACGACCGGCCTCAATTCCACCGAACGAATGCAGAAAGCTGGAAATTCGATCAGTCTACCACGACGACCGCGTTGACGCTCTCAGTCCAGATATATACACGTGTATGGACTTTGAGAGACCCACGCTGTCGTGTCTTTTCATCCAAGTGCCATCCTCCTCGTTTGCGGCCTCTCTGGCTCCGCCCTGGTCCACCCCGCTGTCAACGTAGCGCTTACCTGGGCAGTCCACCTTACATGTAGCAGCAGTTATAACCCGCTAGGGTCAAGTGCTCTCGTCGCAACCACTCTGCCTCACCCATCCTCTCTCACAGCGTCAGGGAGCCAGCGGAGCGATATCTTGACCTGCTATGCTGCGTCTTTTGTCTCCGCGGACGGCGACTGCGTCGTCCATACGGCCTGCGCTCATGCAAGGAAATGGCGTGTGGAACATAGGGTTCACGCGAGGCGCCACGCTCACCGGCAGCCGGCCGCGGAGGACATACGCCCACTCCCCCTCGCGTCACCCCGAAGAGGCTGCCCGCGCGACAAGGGCCGTCCGGGACGCCGTGATCACCACAGTCGCCGGCGTAGCAGTGTGTGCGCGGCTTCCACTCGTGTGCGGGATGCGAGGAACGTGCTCACCGTTCGAGCAGTATGCGCAGGCGGGTTTGCGTATATGGCGTGGTACAGAGAGAACGTCCTCTGGAAGGTGTGTCATCGTGCAGCGGATTTGACCTCTGCCGGGCCGTTTTGCTTACCGCGGTTTTTCGTCTAGATCGAAAAAGCATTCGCTGCGGGATACGATCCCACGCTCGCGCTCAGCGCAAACGCCACGGGGAAATCTGGACGCTCGCGCGCCGGAGCTAGTGGCGGGGAACGCACGCGGCACATTCAGGGTGCTTCAAGGTCGACGCAGCACGTACGACGCGGCCAGCAGGATGAGATCGACAGCGCCATCCAAGGGAAGGAAGTCGGACGCTACTTTGTACTGCTCGGTCCCAAGGTATGCACTACCTCCACCATGTTTCTGGTGCGCTATCCGAGTCGTTGTTCACCGCCTCCAATCGCGCGTCGGTCGCTAGGGGACGGGGAAGACGAAGATGATCCTCGACGCTATGCGAACGGTGGACGCCGAAGGCGTCGCCATGTGCGATATGCATTGTGACCTTGAGGTCTTTCGAGTGCGCCTCGGAAAGGCATTGAACTACCAGTACAGTGAAGACACACAGGCAGGGCTTTTCTACAGGAGGGTTCCGCGGGAAGGTCAGGCAAACGCTATTCAGACACCGGCGCTTGGGATCTCACCAGTCTCTCACCCCAGGCGGTGCTGCCATGGACATTGAGCGTGGTGGGTATTGGGCGTAGAGATATCTCCATCTCGAAACTGATACAACTCTCTGTGTAGCTTTGAACAAGCTCGAAAAGGTGGCCCTTCGAAACCTGCAGAAGACGCAGAAGCCCCTCGTCCTCGTACTCAATAATGTGCACTACTTAAGTCACAACGAAGATGGACGGAACATGCTGTCACAGCTCCAGCAAAGAGCCGAGGCGTGGGCCGCAAGTGGTACGTGTCTTGCCTCGTCTTTAGATCTCCCGCAGCTGAGTTCCCCATCAGGTATCTTGACAATGGTGTTCAGCTCGTAAGTCATCTCTATCCCTACATATTTCAAAACTGTCTAAAGTCATTCCCCTGCAGAGATGACTTTTGGCCTTTCTTCATGATGCGTGAGTACTCTTCTAGTGGTGCCTCATCTGAGCACTTACCGTAGTTGCAGGCCAACAGGAAAGTAGGATGCATGTAGGTCCTAGTCTCGCTATCGGTACGCATATGGGGGCCTGAGACCATTTTAGGTCATCTCGGTTTATGATTTGTCCACCGAGGAGGCGCGGAACGCAGCACAGAGCATGTGCTTAAACGCCGGGAAAAGGCCGCAGTCCCCCGAGGCACTCACCGAACTCGTGCAAATAGTTGGGGGCCGCCTCACATACCTTGAAAAGGCGGCTCGCTCGTCTGACATGGTGGGGCGCGCAAAGGATTTCCTCACCGATGAGAAGGTGTGGCTGCTGGGCCAGATTGGTCTTATTCCTGACTGCGACGATGATATGGTGGAGGAGCAGAAACGGAGCTCGTCTGCTTGGGTCCTGCTCCGCGAGTTCGTGCGCAAGCATAAGAAGGAAACCGAACGCGTTCAAGCGGCGGTCGCGCGGGGCGAGATGGAAGAGAAAGAGCTGCACAAGATCCCGCTACCCCGTCTTACCTACGTACGTCGTCCTCTAGGGGTACGGCCAATCACTGATCGTCTTGCAGGACGAATGCCGGCAGATTATGGCCCGCCCTGATTTTATGGACGGTCAGGGCATTCGTAGCACACGTCCTGCGTGTCACTGATATAGGACATGATGCAGAACTGGACCGCAAGAATATCATCACCATTGACGTGAGTGCTTCGTACGTTTGAGCATCAACACTGATCTGCTCACCTTTCGCATCCACAGACCCACCACAATGTTACACCCGACTCCTGGCTCATTTTTCACGCGGCCGAGCAAGTGGTTAGTGGAGACCTATTCGACGAACGTTTGGACAGTGTGCGGAGCAGAGTCGTAGAAATTGAAATACAGCGTCGCACCAGGGAGCTCGGTGTACGTGCTTATGCCTTGGACTCCGTTTTGACTACCGTGTTGTGGTCATTCTTCAAGGAGCTCTCGCTAATACCCCCTTTACAGTTCAAGGATGTGGACTCAGGCGGCCGCGTGCAGTTCACGATCGACAAGGGCGACGGACCTGTACTCTAAGGGCGTACGGGCATTGTGTTTTTGATCTGCCCCATTGATCCTGGCGTTTGACAGTCTTATCAATTTGATCCTGGTCGCAAGGTAGTTATGCGTCCACTACCTGGCATTTTCGACCAACACGCTGGCTCAACCATAGGATGTTCAAGGGGTGGTCGTGGCAAGCTGGGCATACCTTGAGGTGAGTTAGGCTTATACCGTTCCGCACGGTCCACACTCCATCGTCCTCACGCACATCGACCTAGCGCTAGGTTTGGACATAATGCTCTACAAGAAAAGGCGTCATTTTGCACGCAAGCTTGGGCCATTCAACTCATAATGACAAGCCCTCCACTGTTCCCCGTGGCGCACATCGCTGCATGCGCTTCGCCGCGGTCTTGCCTCATCTTACCTTCCAGGCGGTCACTTTGACGAAACCTACCAAGCTTGTTACGACACCGGGCTACGGCGGTTTGCATACCCCGCGTTCCTGGAGAAGCTCTGCGCTTCCTCGGTCGACCATGTGCTACATCGTCGCGCGCGGGACGAGTCCTGTTGGTCGCCATTCTTGTCGACATCAGTCCTTGTTCAGAAAGCCATGACGTGCTTCGAATCCTCGGGACCGACTATATTCGTCGATCTCAGGGCGCGCATGCGTCTTCATTGTGGGCGGCGTCGCTAGGCCCTCCGGCGGGGCCGAACCTGATCACAGTGCGCCCTCGACCGCGCGAGCAACGGTTGCGAAGGTTTAGTACCGATGCCGCGTTTCCTCTCCAAGATGGTTGGTTCGCAACGGACCGGGCGCTGTGATCAATGCCTACACAACTCCATCAGGTCCGATACTGGTCAGATGGGCTCTACACCTCACAAGTAGACGCTGCAGCTCCGAATTGCTGTCGATTTAAACTCTGCCATAGCATGCGGCGCGGCGCCACCAACAAATGACGTTCTCAAGGCCAGTGATGAGGCCCGAGGACTGAGGGCCAGGTCTCCTTGTTCTCTATATATGTACTTAGTATGTTTTCTACCTATTCGTCTTCTAGCAGTTCTGATGGGAAGCGCGCCCATCCAGCGTTCCATGTGCAGCATCCTAGATATCGACTACGCAGATACCATGCGTCAAACCCTCCACAGAGCAATGGGGAAACGATGCCGTTCGAGGGTTGTAGTAGGATATCCATAGAACCATCCCAACTTATGCGGTTTCTTGGAGTCCGAGCGGACGCACTCCGGACGGTGGAGATTGGGGTGGACGATCCGCACGAGGAAATCACCGTGGTTTGCCGACCCGGGACTGCATCTCGATCGCGATCATCGCAAACACCATTCACGCCACGATAGCTTTGTGGCCCTCCTCGACGGCCGACCACCTCCTACTTGACTGGTATGCAGTGCCTGATATAGCACCACTGCGGCCCGCCAGGGCATCCGCGGCACAACGGTACGCACACGCTCCCTGCCGTCCGCCCTGGCGTTCTGCAAACCTTCCAGATTATTTTGCATTAATTTATCCACACTCAGGGCCGCTGTCCCATTCCTGACGACCAACACGCTAGAATCACTTCCGGTCATGGGTCACGCAGCAGATTCCAGATATCATCTCGGCCAACGGGCGGCGGTAGTCGGGCCATCCATGGGCAGCGGCCGGTTCAACACCATCTACGCTATCCGAAGCGCGACATATCGCGTCCATTCAATACCGACTCCGCGGAATCGGGGCACCTTCGCTGAGGTCCATTCCACCTGAGCAAGGGTGTTACGCAGCCAAGCGCTGCCGCACCGGACGCGCACGATGTAGACCATGGTTCTCTGATATCCGCCGGCGACCCCTGTGCGTGCTTCTGGGGCTTGGCAATGGCATATCACGCTTGCACCTCGGACGACGCTGGCTGGCCATATTGCTGCACTATGATGAGCCCTCGCGTGCTACGTCTGCGGCAGACCACCCCACCTCGTCGACGACCCCACGGCCCGCGGCCCCCGCAGCACGGCTGGCGAACGCTCCTCATGCCCACGCCCTGCAGCATCCCCGTAATGGTACACCCGCGCCCCGCCCTGACCTGCTGCTTGCGCGCGCCTGGCGATCGAAATTGCTTCTTCTCTTGATATCGAGCGGAAGTGCACGCCACGCCTTCCCAGCCCCATCGCCATATAAGAAGGGCCGCGCAGGCCACCGAGGGATCCCCAGGCCCTGCTCAGCATCTCCAAGACCGCCCCTTCTCCGCCATGCTCGCCCGCCTTCTCCCCATCGTCGCCCTCGCCGTCGCCGCGGTCGTCGCGAAGCCGGTCGTCATCCGCGACTCGCCGATCACGCTCGCGGTCGCGCGCCGCTTCAACGCGACCGCCGCGCCGAACATCCTCAAGGCGGACCAGGCGCGCGCGAAGGCGCTCAAGCAGCAGGCGCAGGGCAAGCACACGAGCCTCAAGGCCGCCCAGGCTGCGCTGCCCGTGACGAACGGCGCGGTCACCTACACTGCTAGTGTCGGTGTAGGCGAGCCCGCGACTCAGTGTACGCCATCTCTCTCCTCTGGTATGTCAAGTAATAGTGGCTTAGGCTGAAGCATGCTTTGCAGACGACCTCATCGTCGACACTGGCAGCTCCAACACGTGGGTCGGGGCCGGCATTGACTACGTGCAGACGTCGAGCAGTGTGGACACCGGCGACGAGGTGGTACGTAGTCCTGCCTTATCGTGCGTTTTGCATGGAACACAGTTTTGAGTTCGATCTACGCGTCCACAGGAGGTCAGCTACGGATCCGGCATCTTCTTTGGTAAGATAACATTGCCCTCGTGACGTGCGCGCAGGCGCGGGGCTGATGCTGAACACATTGCGCGCTTTGTAGGGGAGGAGTTCCTCGATACCGTCACCCTCGGGAGCCTCGTCATCCCGAACCAGTCTATCGGTGTATCTGAGTTTGCGATCGGCTTCGACGGCGTCGACGGCATCCTTGGGTGCGTGCAGAGTGGCCCTGTGACGTAGCGCGCTCTCTGACAATAGCTTGTATAGCCTCGGCCCTGTCGACCTCACTCAGGGCACGACGTCCAGCGGGGGCGAGATCCCCACTGTTCTCGACAACGCGTTCGCGCTGGGTCTAATCGACGCTGAGCTCGTCGGCATCTCGTTCGAACCCACCACCGAGCTGTCGACCACCAACGGAGAGCTGACCTTCGGCGGTACCGACTCGAGCAAGTACACCGGCGACATCGCATATGTGTACGTCGCTCTTATGCATCCACGAAGATTCAAGGAGCGCTGATAGTAATCCGCACGGACTACCAGCCCGGTCACCTCGACGTCGCCTGCGTCCTTCTACGTCGGCATCGACCAGACCATCACTTACGGTTCGGCTGCGACCCCCATCCTTCCTTTGACCGCCGGTATCACCGACACTGGCACCACCCTCGTTCTTATTGCTAGTGGTAAGTATCTCAACGACAGTAGTCAAACAGTAGCTCACGAGGAATGCCCGTGCAGATGCGTTCAGCGCATACCAGACTGCCACCGGCGGTGTGCCCGATAACAACACCGGTCTCCTGAAGATCACCGCGGACCAGTTCGCAGCCCTCGAGAGCTTGTTCTTCAACATCGGCGACGTGAGTATCATTTGACATCTCCGCTGTCACGCTCCAGAGGCTGACACTCATGGCCTTGCAGAACACCTACGAGTTCACCGCCAACGCCCAGATTTGGCCCCGTGCGGTAAGTGAACTTGTTCCGCGGAGTATACAGGCTTCTCACAGGGCGCACGCAATTGTTTCTAGCTCAACACTGCCATCGGCGGGGACGCGGACAGCATATACCTGATCGTCGCTGACATCGGCTCCAACTCCGGCGAGGGTCTCGACTTCATTGACGGGTTCACATTCCTCGAACGTTTCTACAACGTCTGGGATGTCGCGAACGCACAGGTCGGCTTTGCCACCACGTCGTTCACCACCGCTACCACCAACTGAGCGAGCGGTTTGATGGGGCAACGGACAAGTCTGTAAACACAACGGCCAAACACACTTGGACATTTGTATGCTCTGGATGTAGAGTTGCAGAAATATACCTCGGATTACGGAACCAGTGCGCATTAACCGACTCGAAAGAAAGGGACAGATCTGCCCAAATGCAGAGTTGCGTGTTACATTTCGAGAACCGACAGCCAATTGACAGCGCTTCCCATGCATGCGGTACTGATCGGCGGCGGGAATTACTTGATTAGGCGAGAAACGGCCCCGAAAGGGAGCCAGTCCGCATCGGGCACCACATACGTCATGGCTAGAACTGGTGCGCCGCTGCAATCCCTCGCGGTGCCAGCTTGCCGACCGTGAGCACACGACTCATATGCTTCTGTCTCCTCCCCCCATCTGCCTTGTCTGGACATGCTCGCAGCACGGACATGTTTGGCCCGCTGTCCCCCATCTACCGCGCGACCTGGCTTCGGTGTCTCCTGCAATTTCAACGAGCTACGAATATCCACGCGAACGACTTCGCACACACACCCGTTTAGAATAAACATATCTCGACGATATGCCACTACTCCTCAAGAGGTAGAGAATACCAATGTCAGTCATTCCAGATTCCTTGCCGAGGCCTCGCACAAGGAGCGTTGGAAGGAGGGCTCGGCGGAGAAGACGGGGGACGGCCCAGAGCTCACAAACGAAGAATATGATGATTCCATAACGGATGGCAAGGGTGCGTATATTCAACCCGGCCTCATACTGTTACTGAGTTTATCGCTGCTGAACAGGGAAGCTCTCGCCGACGTCGTCGCACCTGTTCAAACTCATCCTACCGCTCGGTCACCAAAACCAGCGTGGACGGGACCAATCATCCCAAACCAAGCCGCCTCCCCCTATGGTGTTCCTTCTGCACCCATCCCAGCCGCTCTCGCACGTCAGCAGGCTCATCCTCGCCTCGCTCGCGCCCTCCACACCCTCCGTCTCATTCCGGAGCGTGACCCCGCGCGGACACACCATCCAGTGGTCCGACTCGACCGACGTCGCAGACTTCATCCGCGACGCCGCGCGTACGCGCCAATTCACCGTCTGCCTCACCGACCCAGGCGAGGAGGAGCCGCACACGGAGATGCCCGTGGAGGTGCCCTCGTTCGAGGACCGCACGCGTTTCATGCGCCGGCGCCTCGCCGCCGTCGAGGAGGAGCTCGCGCGCATGGAGGACCTCAAGAAATCCTGCGACGCGGAGGCGCACCGCGGCGCGCGTCGCATGGCGCTCGGGGGCTTCGGCATCCTCGTCGTATACTGGGGCGGGGTCGCGCGCCTCACCTTCTGGGATTATGGCTGGGACGTCATGGAGCCCATCACGTACCTTTCCGGGCTGTCTACTGTCATCCTGGGGTACATGTGGTATGTCCTACTTTCCCGGTTGTAGGAGGACGATCCTGACCAGTGTTTGCAGGTTCTTGATGAGAGGGCGCGAAGTCTCATACTCGTCCCTCCTACACCATTCGGTCTCGGCGCGGCGCGAGACCTTATACAAGTCGCGCGGTCTAGATATCGACAGGTGGATGGACCTCGTGAGTGAGGCGAAGAGCTTGCGGAAGGAGATCAGCAAGATTGCTGAGGACTACGACGAGCGGGTGTGGAAGGAACGCGAAGAGGAGCGCAGGGCGGATGAGCGGGATCACGGTGAGGCGAGCGATGCGAAAGAGGCGGAGCGGGAGGACATTGCTTTGGTACGAGATCAGAAGAAATCCACAGAATAGGCGCGGCGCGGGCAAATCTGGATCACATACAACGTGCGTGTGATGAAACATTGCTTGGGTCTGACTTCATCGCATTAATGGGGTAGTGGTAACCTGGGTCGTTGCCATCGACCCGCCGGGGGTTCGATTCCCCCTTAATGCATAACAGAGGTTGAAAGTTTCGCTTTTTTAATTTAAAATTAGCGATTAGTCGGATTTGCGGCCGCTTCAATTTCTACGGCACCTCTTCACAGCCTGGAGCGGTTTAAGGTACACGCTGAAGGCCAAATCTCAGCTTGGTAAAGGTGTTGCATATATGATGCATACCTAAGAGATTTATACTCTGGATCGCTCGTATGTGACATTCAAACAGTACTACTCCACCGACACGCTTGCGTTGAGAAATGACCCCCTCACTCAGTTTATTTCAGCGCGTGTGAGCTGGGTTTCGGCGAGGCCGACGCGGTTGTTCCCGGAGTCGAACACGTAGTAGAAGCGCTCGAGGAACGTCATGCCGTCGATAAAGTCGAGGCCTGAGCCCGTCGGGGTGCCGACGTCGTTGATGACGAGGTAGATGTTTCCTGGGGTACCACCGATCGCGGTGTTCAGCTGCCAGAGATTGAGGTGAGCTCGTGCGGCTTATGGGAAAAAAAGTAAAGGCGGACGTACAGCGCGCGGCCAGATTTGAGCGTTGGGCGTGAATTCGAACGAGTTCTGCGCGATGATCAGTGAATGAGCATTCCACATGTTAGAAGACATCGGAGGATGCGTACCTCGCCGATGTTGAAGAACACGCTCTGCAGGTTCGCGAACTGGTCTGGGGTGATCGTCAACAGTCCAGTGGCAGGGTCGAGGACGCCCCCCGTGAGGCTTTGGTACGTCGCGAACGCATCTACGCAGCACGATACATAGTCAGCGAATGTGCATCGCGGTGATATAGAAGTGGCATTGGCACGTACCGCTAGCAATGAGCAAGAGCGTCGTTCCAGTGTCAGTGATTCCGGCCGTCATGGGGAGGATAGTCTGCCCGGTCGGAGACCCGAAGGTGATTGACTGGTCAATCCCAACGAACTGACTTGCAGGCGCAGTGGATGTGATCGGTCTATTGACTCGTCAACATCTAGCCCGAGCATGACAGATAACGCAGCTTTGGTACTTACACAAAGTTCAATGGGCCGGTGAACTTGGAGTCATCGACACCGCCGATGGTGAGCTCGCCGTTTGTATTGTCCAACGTCGATGTCGGCGCAAAGGAGAAGCCGACCATGCGCTCGGGAATGGATCCTTCACTAAAGGCGTTGTCGGTGACGGTGGGGATGCAAGACGAGCCGAGGATGAGGGTACCTGGTAATGTGTTTCTGTCAGTCGCGCTACCTTCAGACCATGCAGCGCCGTTCTGGAGACTGGTACTCACCACAAGTCAGACCAACCGGGCCGAAACTGTTGGGGCCATGGTCTCAATAGATGTACCGGATAACTAGTCTGGTGAAGTGCTCACCCGATGATGCCATCCACAGCAGTGAAGCCGGTGGAGACTAATGCGGCCCCCATCGACTGTTTCTGGATAACGAGACCGGAGGGGAAAGTGAGTGTATCCGTCACTTCGATACCTGGGTGAGTTTATGTCATCAATCAATGCTGTGTTAAATTCTATATTCCAGAACGTACCCATCACCGATCCGGATCCGTACTCGACAGCCTAAGGAGAGGTTCAGTGTGAAGGAACTGTGTCATCTGGAGATGCACTTACGACGAGGTTCATCGGCAGACTGGCGGAACCCAAAAGCGGCACGAACGGATTCTCTGTCGGGCGGGAGCCCGCCCAGGTGTTCGAGCTCCCGGTGTCGATGAGAAGGCTGACTGTTGAACGTCGATAACTATCAGTTCTACGCATCCGCAAGGACCTGTTTACTAGGTGCAATTCAAGCGCACTCACAATTCTTCCCCGGGTTCCCGACAGTGACCTAGACATGTTATCAGAAGCGGGTCAAGAAAGTCGCAGAATGACCGAACTAACCGTCATGACATAGTCGACCGCCTGGTTTGTAACCGGAACGTCAGCGGCAGCGTTTTGCTGGAACGGCGTTGCCGCGGCTCTTGTTCCCGTCTTGAACGACTTCGCCCGCGCGCGGTCTACCTCCAGCAACTTCGCAATGCCGGTCGCATTGACGCGCCGCGCGAACGGCACAGTCACGGGGGACGCATTGTTGCGGATGTGGACGGCGGTACCGGGGGCGATGGCGAAAGAAAGGGCGAGCGCGGCGAGGGCCGCGGAGACGAGGCGGAGTCCCGCGAGCATAGTGCCGGTGCGAGGGACAGGGGGATGGGAGCTGTGTCGGGTGGGAAGGGCGACGGAGATCACGCTCGTAGGGGAGGCTAGTGCGGTCGTATGCCTCAGGGCCGTTCATATACGGCCTCGCGGACTTCCCATGAGAGGTCGCGGAGTAATGCGAAGACTGAGAAGTAAGACGAAGAGTTACGGCAGCAGCCCGCACCCAGTCCTGCCCAGTAGACTATCGGAGGCTGAGGCACCGCAGCGACTGGCGGAAGGCTCGGAGGCAGAGGTCGGCTCTGCAACTCGCTACCACTGGACGGCCAAGGCGGTTGAAGGCTGTCCCTGAGCCGGCGTCATGGATATTCTCATGAGTGGGCCGCCAACTGTCGAAATTAAATCCAGTAGGAGTCAGCGAAGGGACAATTGCAGATTATTCCTCTCACAGGGAGATTCCGAGAAGGCCTCGGGAAAGCAGAAGTCGCGTCGGCAGCATGGTATCCTGGCGAAGTGAATATGGTAAATGGCATCATGCACACACGAAGTACCTGGACAGCTATACAAGGGAAAAGGCCGGTTAGAATGGCACTGCTGTTGCACACTGCAATCATCAGTCTTGTAGCCTTCCTTCGGATGTCCAAGGGGGTCAACATACCAACTCCGCAGCGGAAGGATCCCTGGTTCGGCGCTATTTGTGGCGGCGGCGAATGGGCTAGACTGATTACCAGTGGAATGACGTGGTGCGCTCTCAGGAGAGCTCGACGCAGATCGAGTGGGACGATCCTAGTATCCCGAGCCCTGCACCGGTCATCAAATTCACTCACAGCGAATATAGCCATGTGAACACTTACGGGAGAGGATGTCATCGACAGGCACGGCTCTACCAGCCTTCCCGAGCCAATCCCGGTCACCGTCTTCAAAAGACGCTGTTGCGGCCGGACGCCTCAACGTCATGACGTAGAGTCTGCTTCGGATTTGGAGCATCCGGCAGAGATGGCGGCGGTTCTCAGTGGAAATGCGGTACCCAATGGATTTTGGTCCGAGTCCAGGCATACTTGGAAGCATCCATATGGCCTGCTGGCAAGTCGTGGTACCGAAATAAGCTTCTGGTGCACACTCGGAACAAAACCCGTTGGAAATTCAAGCACATCGACAGCACAACAAGAGAAGTCACAGTATCGTGAAATGAAGATACGCCTTAGTTCGTCGTCGCGTCGGTGAACTCCGTCGTCGCGAAGCCGACGCGGCTGTTGGCGATGTCGAAGACGTAGTAGAAGCGCTCGAGGAACGTCATCCCGTCGATGAAGTCCAGGCCCTCGCCACTGATGCTGCCCAGGTCGTTCACGATGAGGTAGACTGAGTCAGGCTGGCCCCCGATGGCGGTGTTGAGCTTTTGAAACACGCTGCTTAGTGATGAAGTCAGACGCAGGACGCGAAGTACCACTTACCGCGCGGGGCCAGATCTGTGCGTTGGGGGTGAACTCGAGAGTCATCTGCAATGACGACGAAGAATCAGACGGAGGGTCCAAGAGCCGCTATGTCTAAACGTACGTTTCCGATATGGAAGAACAAGCTCTCGAGGTTCGCGAACTGGTCTGGGGTGATGCTGAGTAGACCAGTAGCGGCATCCGGGACACCCCCGGTGAGGTTCTGGTACGTTGCAAAGGCATCTGAGAAGCCTTTATGAGAGCAGTGAGCACTCTGGAGTAGCGTCACCACATACCGCTAGCAAGAAGCAGGAGAGTAGTGCCGGTGTCCGTGATGCCGGAGGTTGCCGCGAGAACGGTAGTGCCAGCCGCCCCATATGTCACCGTTTGGTCGATCCCCACGAACGTGTTTGCGGGCGACGCGGACGTGATTGGCCTGTGTGATACACCGTTGTCAGAGACCATAACTTGTGCTCTATCTTTGACGTACACGAATGACAGCGGGCCCGTGAACTTGGTGTCGTCGATGCCGCCGAAGGTCAGCTCGCCGTTCGTCGATTCCAGCGACTGCGTGGGCGCGAAGGCGATGCCAATCTCGTGCGCGCCGATCAAGCCCTGACTGAACGCGTTGTCCGTGACGGTGGGGATGCACTCGGTGACTGCAGGGAATAGTGTCCCTGTAGATGCCTGTTAACTACTTGCGCATCATTCAAGACAGGGTAGTCACGGTCGCCTACCGCATGTCAAGTCCACCGGGCCGATGCTAGAGGAACATTAGTGCAGGTATAACGCGAACTTCCGGGAGAAAACAGCATACCCTATGATTCCGTCTACCCCGTCAAAGCCCTGGCTTGTAAGAGCAGAACCAATGACTTGGTTTTCAATGGCAAGTCCATCAGCGACCGTGACGGTATCCGAAAACGCCTCGCCTATAATCCACGTGAGCACATGTCCGCCTATCTCTTGGACATGACCTTGCTTACCGAAGACAAATCCAGAGCCGTATGTAACCTCCTGCATGTTATCGCTTAAGTATCTGTGGGATGTCAAGGAGTATACATCACTTACAAGCAAATTGGCGGTAGCCTGGGATGTCTCCGTGCGGACATAGGCCTTACCCGCACCAACCCAGGTGTTTGAGCTCCCGGTATCGATCAACAACGAGTCTGTCAACGTCCATTAGCAACTCGCCGTCAATCTAGCAAGGTCAAAGCGAACATGTGGTTGGTGGGCTTCCAACCCCAACCTGTGACCATTGATCAGCTCAAATACCACTTCGAGCGACGTAACATCAAAACATACGGTTGCAACGTAGTCGACGGCCTGGTTCGTCACCGGCGCGTCGAAGATTGTCGCGCGAGGGGAATTGCCCGTGTGCGCCTGCGGACGCGATTTGAGCGCCTTGGCGCGCGCCTGGTCGAGCTTGACGAGGTTTGCTGCGCCCGTGATGTTCAGCCTACGAGCGATGGGGAGCGTGATACGGGAGCTGTCCCGCACGACGAGCGCATCGCTAGTGAGTCCCAACGCGAGGACAAGCAAGAACGTAGAGGCGAGACGAAGTCCGGAGAACATGACGTGTACTGGCCTGCGGTATCTTGTGGAGAACAAAGCCGGCGGGGGGCTTTCGCTAACGTCACCTTGGGGGCAACTGCTGCGACGAGCCGTCGGGAGGGTTGATATAGGCAGCTTATCGCACCCGACCCTTAGCTGCTTCAGACACGAATACGTCCGTGCCGACACAGTGCATCCTGCACAGAGGTGTTCGCAGTATGGTCATAATCTTGCGTTCTAGCATCGAGTGAGCTCATTGGCCAAGACCAACGACGAATGGTGTCTCGTGAGTATGCTGATACGCTGATGATAGCTCTTGGAAGATATGTCGATCGTTTCTCATGTTGGAGTGCCAGAACTGTCTGGAAAGGAAAGGAGAAGTGAGCGACAGAGGCCCCGTGCGTTATCCGAAGCGCATCTCATATCGAGCGTGGGCGTTGTTCACCACACTCGGTGCCGCGGTTGTCCCGTCCCGAAGCAACAGACGCAATCTGCGCAATGACATCATCGACCGCGCAACCTTGTGAATTCCAGGCGGAAATACCTCAGGCAGATGTCCGGCAAATGTGGGTGACGGCCTTGGCAGCGAACCTGACAGTCAATATCGAAAATGAAGAAGCGGTGCACAGTGGGATGACGGTGAGAGCTCTCACCAATCCTGGTAGCGACGTCGGCGAGTGCCTGAAGCTTCGAGCTCTCCGACGCTAGCATTTCACCACTGAGCTGCGCATGTCGGGCAACTGCGCTCTCATCGGATACTCTTGAAGACGGGCGGTATAGTCGGCATCCCGCGATGCAGGCATCTGCACCCTCGATGCTGACTTCGGCGGGAAACGGGGTTCCGCCGTTGCCGTTCGGATGCGTAATAGAATCTGCGGGAGAGTGCATGCGCTATCTTGTAAGAATACGAGAGGCACATCGCGGAGACCCTGTTCGAGTAATGGCGTTTCTATTGCGTACGCGCATTGCGCAGTACCTCAACGTACATTGTAGCACAATTCTAGTGGGCCACTGTCAGACCGGCGAAGACTATAGTTAGATTGGTCGTGCAAGTGCTCAATCTTCTTACCTGCTCTGACACGATGGTTATTGCGAGTCCTTCTCCAGCTGCTCGCGCAGCACACGCCCGCGGTCTAGAACAGCGTCCGCCTCGAGATAGCATCCCTTTAACCACCGATTGGCATCACCATCGGCGCTGTTTTCGCCCTCCCGTTCTCGGAATGCCGTTCGGGAGTGCAAGACGCGGCGGTTGTCGAACAGGACCGCGTCGCCTTCGCGGAGTAGATGCTCGTACTGCACAGTAGGGTCGTCTAGCATGGACGCGAACCGCTTGAGGGCAGGGTAGAAGGCGGAGGGCGTCTGGAGCGAGAGGGGTGCCTGGAAAGGCGGGGAGTAATTGACGAACTCAACCGAGGCATCTCCCGGGAAGCGTGAGAGCTGAATGGTCGGGTGCGAGTAGTGAAGATGGTGGCCGTCGTTGATATAATGAAATGCCACCGGGGTAGATGCCAGGATATCGAACGCAGCGGTATCTTCGGCTCGCAGCTTCGACGCCACGTGTGCTGCGTCGACAAAGATAGACTTGCCCCCATCGACACGATTACGGAGGCAGTGGAGAATCTGGAAGCGGGGCGGATGCTGAAAGTAACTACGCAGGGTCAGCGATGCAATCGCATGAGCAGTTTCAAGCTACACCAAAACTTACAGTAGGTCCATGTGTAAACCCAGGTCAACGTTCGTATAGGCGATATTGCGACTATTCTTGACGTTCTTCACATCCCAAGTTTCACCGTAGAACGTGGTTCGCAACTCGCCGAAGCGCTGGCCAAGATTGCGAAGCTCGCATTCTTCGTTTGACGTCCGCTCGTTCGGCACAGCGGACACAAACAAGAGCCCATACCGCGTCAATTGGGTGATCGCTGCGAGGAGATCGGAGGGCGTGGCGAGCGCTTCATACGGCAGGAAGAGGTCTCGGGCGGATTTGAGATGTTCAGCGTCCCATTCGACCTTGTCGACGTCGCGGTGAAAGGCGTGGGTCGTTTCGCACGATGCGTAGTGTTTGAGGAACTCGGCAGGGTAAAGAGATTGGTGGCCAGAGTCCCAGGTGACGTGCACGCCGTCGTCGGATACGCGCACCCCGCCATCCCTGGGCTTCACGACCAACGGCACATCCGAGGTCCTGTGTAGCTTCTGCAATGTCGATGGATGTAGACAAGAGGGGCATTGGCAAGCGTCGCGGAGCCAGGGGAAAGGATAGGAGTGGCCGTTGTAGATCAACCCATCATTCCCACGTGGGCGGAGGGAGGAAAAATGGCGCCGGGAAGCCTGCCAGTGTCGTGATACTACCGTGAACCCCGAGCCCGCGGCGAGGTATTTCGCAAACATTGTGGGCACAGCGGTGTCGACAGGAAGGGGTTGGTTGCGGAAGTGCGGTATGTAGAATTTGCAATCTCGGGGAGTGACGGTGGCTGAGCGCTGACTCCCGACGTTGACAACTCCGCCATAGTAATCACGAGGAAAACATACTACTATATCGGATCGTACATACTATGACGGCACGTACGTCACACGTAAACATACTGCAAAGCCACTGCGTGTCCTTGCGCGACATACTCACCAATAAAAATAGTGCAGGTGCCTTAAGCTTGCAGCGGGGGAAAGCGCACCGTTTTGCAAACACTGAATCCTGATCATGAGGGGTTGGTATGAACGGCTCTCGTTGGTAGCGTTGTCCTTGGTACGTCTCGATCTCGCCGGCGCAGTTGGAACTTGAATCATATGTAACAATTTGATGGGGACAGGACATAATCTCAGGACTTCAATCACTTCAAGACGACTCTGCGGCAGTGTCATAGAGACGATGGACTTGGTTACTCTACGTCTGAGCTATGGCATGCTGAAAAGCTTGAACGATAGATTGCGGAGCGTCCGGGCCCAGGATAGTTTCCAGGTTCGCCAAAGTAAGGGCAGCAAACCTTTCCCCCCTGGCGAACATCTCCTCTTCCCACGCTGCAATCGCGGCCTCCCTCTCCTCTCGCCTTAGGCCCTTTGCCACCGCGTCCGCCAGAACCAGCCCCAACTCGACCCCGTCCCGCATCGCGAGGTTCGCGCCGGCGCCGGCGAAAGGACTCATCAGGTGAGCCGCATCGCCGATGACAGTAACTCCCGGCTTGTGCTCCCAGCGATGGCCGACGGGTAGATGGAAGAGAGGGCGCGGGTAGATAGCGTCCTCGTTGGCCTCCTCTATGAACTTGCGGATCCACGGCGCCCAGTCCGGGTAGATGTCGAGGAGAACCTTCTTCGCCTCCTTCGGGTCGTGCGGGAGGGCCCAGTCGAGCGTGTTGCGGTGCCACGCGTAGGCGCGAATGCGTCCGTCGCCGTTGAGCTGGAAACCCAACATCTTCTCGCCCTGCGCGACGTAGCAGCTGCCTTTGCCGACGCCCGAGCTAATGTCGCGATTCTCCGGGAGAGACGCGACGGCGGGCGGGAGCGAGAGCTCTGCTCCAGTGACCCCGTGGTAGATAGGGACCGCGGGAGAGACCAGAGGGCGGACGCGGGAGTGCGCACCGTCCGCACCGACGACGACGTCCGCGATGGTCACCACGCCGTTCGCGAACGTGAGCTCATGCTGTCCCCCCTCAAGCGGCCCGATGGATGCCAGTGCGTGGCCCCACTTGACGGCGTCGTCGGGCACGGCGTCGAGCAGGACCTCGCGGAGGACGCGGCGGTCGATCTCAGGGCGCGCGTGCCGCAGATCACTGTCGAGCGGGTCGACAGCCTTTCCCTCGTTGTGGAAGAGGGGAACACCGTCCTTCCCGCAGATTCGCGTTTCTTCCGCGTCGCGACGCGAATGCTTCCTGAAAACGTCCTCCATTCCGTTCTCGCGGAACGCGCGCTGGCCGGAGTCCCACTCGAGGTCGAGCATGCCGCCGAGGTGGGCGCGCGATTCGCTGTCGAGCTCGCGCTCGTAGAGCGTGGCAGGGATGCCGCGCTTGGTGAGGGTGAGGAGAACGACGAGCCCAGCAGGTCCGCCGCCGATGATGGCGATGCGGGGCTGAGAAGTGGATATGGACGACATGGTCTATAAGCCTGAGCGAGCGAGATGGGGTGGACAGTGGCTGTCTTGCGGCGTACGCGTGGACCTCGATGTCTTTTTATCGTTCTCAAGGCGCAGTGTCCGCGCCCATCGGCGAAACTACCAGCTCGGCATAACCGATAGATGAGCCCGACGATGTATGTCAGTTCTTGTGCGGTGGGCATTTGTACCGTTCGTAGCAGGCGCGGTAGAGTCACTTCGCCGAATCAGGATAACGTGAGTACTTCTGGAGTTTTACTGTACTTCTTGATTCCAGAAGCTTACAATCGTACAAGCGCAGTTCTGTCTAGACCTCACGTCGATTAGCAAGCGACGTCTTTCTTGACAAGGGACTCCCACAGTTTTTCGGGACCGTCGGGCGGCGAGTGACTCGGAGAGCTGGTCGCTGCTAGGTATAATCTAGCCCCGTCTACCATGGTCCCTTCGTCTGTGAGTAAAACAATTCAGAACTCCTATTCGCATTAATGAGAGCCTGTGAAAAGGACGCTAGATCTGCACTCCACGGAATGTCCACAATAGCATGACTATCAGAATACGTGCAGGAACCACTCCTATTGAATGCAGAGGTAGTGCATCTAGACATCCTAATTGAGAGCAGAAGGCATGTGGCGTACATCCGATAGACAAGGCACCAAGCTCAAACCTCAGGCTGCCGGACAGTCGGACCCGCCATGGAGCCATCGCAAGTCTGCCAAGCCGATCCACACCTCCAGGCTCCGTAGGAAGTATGCGTGTCTCCTCTTTCAGGTTGTCACGGGCACGCTGAGCCCGCCCTCATCACATTCAACAGGTAGACTCACTAGCGTACGCATAGGGCGGAGGAGCACACGGACCGGTGTGTCGTGTGTGCACGCCGCGCTACACCATCCGGCACGAGCCGGTCCTTCGTGTCTGCGCTCGCTGCACCATGCAGCGCGCGGTGACTCTCGAGCGTTTCAGTGCATCTATAACGCTATCCCGAAGCGCTTACGCGCAGCCGGACCTTTGGCGCAGACGCGCTGAGGACAGGAGACGCGGCCGGGGCTTGGTAGATTATTGCTGGTTTCACGGCGCTTGTCGCGGGGCCTGACGCGCGAATTTCGCGCCGCGCGCCCGTCTGGAGGGTGTCGACGCGGATCGTCGATATCTCGCTCAATACTCCATGAAATTTACTATTCCTTTCAGATTCGGACTCTCCTTATCGACGCGGAGGGCACGGTACAAGAATCAGCGCGAAATACGAAGGTTAGGTGAAGGCCTCCTCGGGCACCTCCCCAAAAGCAGAACTGAGATTACCCGCCAGAATTCCGTTCAATATAGCTGAAATTCTGTGCGATAGGTTCCATGACACTGTACAAAGGGCACTGATGTTAAACAAATGAAGTACACGAAGGGGTAATAGTAGTAGCATGGTCGTCCGTTCTGCCCTGCCAGGCCGAGCTCAGCTACATCCTCTAGATGAGGTTCGTACTTACTCATTCACACAGATACATGATTCCAGGCTCAATAGTGATAGTGCTAACTCTTAATAAAGACTTTCTCGGCGTTACGGGGATTTTGAATACACACAACAAGGTCTGCTCGTGTGCGATGACGTGGCGCTCACACTGCTCTGCTGCACCTGTTAATATCGGCGCTGACGTCGCGAATGGGACGTCCAGGTAGGGACGATACATAGGAGACTATACAGGAGATATAGATGCCCCAAAATGTAGGAGCAATACTATGCCTGTTCACCCCCTCAAACCAGATTGACAGATGCTCGCGTACATCCCGATGATCATGACCAAACCACCTTCATGCCCTCCATATACATCGTTAGCCTCTGTAAAAGTGCATTCCAGCGAGAGCAAGGGACGATGTCGCCCATTGTGCTGGTTCTGCTTTGGGGGAGGTGCCCGAGGAGGCCTTTACTCAACCGTTGATTTTTGTACCGTGCCCTCCGCGTTGATGAGGAGAGTCCGAATCTGAAAGGAATAGTAAATTTCATGGAGTATTGAGCGAGATATCGACGATCCGCGTCGACACCCTCCAGACGGGCGCGCGGCGCGAAATCCGCGCGACGCGCCCCGCGACAAGCGCCGTGAAACCAGCAATATCTGCGTAGGTCCTCCGGACGGATGCGCGCGGCTGCGGCAAGCTGCTGGGTTGCCGCGCTCTGTTTGTATTGGATGAGCTGCTGGTGTTTGCAGGTACCTACGTAGGGCGCGGGCGCGGTTTATGTCCCTCGTATGGCTCGCGGCGCGTTGTATTCACAATTTTGGTCAGATGCGTAATAGTATTTGCTGCTTACAATTAGGCTTGACGCTCTCGAGTAATCACTGAAAGAAGAACATCCACCACGATGATATGTATTGCCAAGGAGCTATCAGTTGCATGAAGGTACGATAGTGACCATACGCTACTTCTTGGGTTGCTCCAGATACTTTGCAAAGCCTTTGACGGCCGAGTGAGGTGTACCTGGCCCGAAGGAGAGCTCGAGACTCTTCTTCGAGATGAACGCGAACTGGCCTGCCGACTCGAACATCTTCTCCTCCCACGCCGCAATCGCCGTCTCCCTCTCCTCACTCCCCAAACCCTTCGAAACCGCATCAGCAATGACGAGGCCCAGATCCAACCCGTCTCCCATGGCCAGGTTCGCGCCGGCGCCCGCGTACGGGCTCATGAGATGCGCAGCGTCTCCAATCAGCGTGACGCCGGCTTTGTGGTCCCAGCGGTGCCCAACGGGGAGGTGGTACAGCGGCCGGAGGTAGATGGCGCTCTCGTCCGCCTGCTCAATGAACTTGCGGATCCACGGCGCCCAGTCCGCGTAGACGTCGAGCATGGCCTTCTTCGCCTCCTTCGGGTCGCTGGGTAGCTTCCAGTTGGCGTCGCCCCGGAACCACATGTAGGCCCGGATGCGGCCGTCTCCGTTTCGCTGGAAGGTGATCACCTTCTCGTCTTCGAGGACGCCGCAGGTGCCCTTGCCGATGGCGTCGTTGATATCGCGGTTCTCGGGGAGAGCGACAACGGAGGGGGCGAGCGAGAGCTCCGCGCCCGTGATGCCGTGATAGAGGGGTACAGCGGAGGACAGCAGGGGGCGGACGCGAGAGTTGGCGCCATCGGCGCCGACGACCAGGTCGGTGACGACAACAGAGCCGTTCGCAAACGTGAGCTCGTGCTCGCCGTTGTCGAGGGGCCGAATGGAGGTGAGGGCGTGGTCCCATTTGACCGAGTCCTTGGGCACGGCGTCGAGGAGGATCTCGCGGAGGACACGGCGATCGATCTCGGGGCGCTCGTTCTCCAGATCGCCCTCCTCAGAGGCGGGATCCTCGCGCTTCTGGAGGATGATGCCGTCTTTGCCTGCGATGCGCATCTCCTGGGCGTCGCGGCGGGAGTACTTCTTGAAGACGTCCTCCATGCCGTTCTCGCGCAGCGCGCGCTGGCCAGTCGCCCATTCGAGATCCAGCATGCCGCCCATATGCGCGCGCGAGTGGTTGTCGGCCTCGCGCTCATAGATCGTGGCGGGGATACCGCGCTTGGCGAGGGTGAGGTGGAGGGCCAGTCCACCAGGTCCTCCGCCTATGATTGCAATGCGAGAGAGAGCTCGAGCTGTCGATGTAGCAGCCATGGGGGTTGGAAGTTCAGGATAGGAGAGTACCTGCTGGAAGAGCGCGGCGCGTTGTGGTTCCGCTCGACATATGCCATTATTTAACCCAACGCGCTTGCCGCAATGCACTTCTTCCAAGGTACTCCAAGCGGCCAATCCATGTGGTCCATCCCTGCCGAGAGAGGTCGTCAGCGTATGAGTGCCGGACTGATGGTATGATTCGTGTACACACCTGCCGCATGCGTTGCCGGTGTGTGGTCACGATGAAAGTACTTCTGCCGGGAAGAGTCGTCATCAAATTAAGGCGTTGTCCATTCTGTTCATTTGGACATGCCGCTGCGCTACGAATCTGCTCGCCGTCAAAGCTTCATATACACCGGCTAGATATCCGAACTTCGCCGAGTTTACCCCGGCGAAGCCGTCCATCAACTTGCGCAGTCACCGCAGTGTAGTGGCCATGTCCATTGCCAGAGAGCCGCGTATGCTTGTCTTGGTCCTCGTTCAGCTTTCTATGATTCGATCTAGGCTAGCAATCGGTGGGTTACAGTGTTGAGGATACCACCAACAAGCGTGCACTTACCACCGCGACAGATGGATCCGGCGCCTGCGTTCTCAGATTTCTCAACAACTTCTCAACATACCATGGCGTCCGCGCCCTCCACCAGCCTCCTCAGGCTCCCCGGATCATAAGGTATTCACGGGATGATTATACGAGGCATGGCGAATGGCCGCGACGACATTTACTGCCAGTACTTGAGGTGTCTCTCAAGATAGCGATACCAACGTTTCCTGCAAGGTTCGTAGAAGTTATATAGCACAGCAAACATCTCTCGACATCGTAGTGTAGATACATGAGGCGGGTCCTATGCTCACGTTTGCACTATAGCCTCCTGGAAGGCTTGGACAACAGATTGCGGAGCGCCCGGGCCAAAAATGAGCTCCAGGTTCCTCAGAGTGAGCGCAGCAAACTTCTCTCCCCTCGCAAACATCTCATCCTCCCACGCAGCGACCGTAGCCTCCCGCTCCTCCTGCCCCAAAGCTTTCTCGACCGCGTCCGCAAGAATCAACCCCAGCTCGACGCCATCCTGCATCGCGAGGTTCGCGCCCGCGCCTGCGAAGGGACTCATCAGGTGCGCAGCGTCCCCAATGACGGTTACCCCCGGCTTGTGCTCCCAACGGTGGCCGACGGGGAGATGGAACAGGGGCCGCTGGTAGATCGCGTCTTCGTCGGCCTGCTCGATGAACCTGAGAATCCACGGCGCCCAGCCAGAGTAAATCTCGAGCAGGACCCTCTTCGCCTCCTTCGGGTCGCGCGGGAGAGCCCAGTCGAGCGTGTTGCGGTGCCACAGGTACGCGCGGATGCGGCCGTCGCCGTTGCGTTGGAACGCGAGGTTCTTCTGGTCCTGCGCGAGGTAGCAGCTGCCCTTGCCCACGCCCGCGCTGATCTCGTGGTTCTCGGGGAGAGATACGATGGCGGGGGGAAGCGAGAGCTCGGCGCCATTGACCCCGTGGTAGACGGGAACGGCCGGGGAGACAAGGGGGCGAACACGGGAATTCGCGCCGTCGGCCCCGACGACGAAGTCCGCCACGGTGACCACGCCGTTCGCGAACGTGAGCTCGTGCCGCCCTTCCTCGATCGGCCGGATGGACACGAGGGCGTGGCCCCACTTGATCGTGTCCTTGGGCACGGCATCGAGCAGGATCTCGCGCAGGACGCGGCGGTCGATCTCTGGACGCGCGTGCCTCAGGTCTCCATCGGGCGATTCCTCGACATTCTCGTTGCGGCGGAGGAGAGGGATCCCGTCTTTGCCGCCGATTCGCCCCTCCTCCGCGTCGCGACGGGAGTGCTTCCTGAACAGGTCCTCCATGCCGTTCTCACGGAGCGCGCGCTGGCCGGAGTCCCACTCGAGGTCGAGCATGCCGCCGAGGTGGGCGCGCGAGTTGCTGTCGAGCTCGCGCTCGTAGAGCGTAGCGGGGATGCCGCGCTTGGTGAGGGTGAGGAGAACGACGAGCCCAGCAGGCCCGCCGCCGACGATCGCGATGCGGGGTTGGTACTTGGGGTTGGATTCGACAGACATGGTATCTGGGGTTTCTAAGGATGAGGTGAGGGCTTTGAGGTATGATACCCTTGAACATTGGCTGCGTTATCACCTCTCGTCGCAGTCGATCGCGCATGCCGGCGCAACTCGTCAGCGCCGCATAGCTGAGAGCCGGTCGCTAGAATGAGGGCGGAGATCGTATCTGTCTCTGCCATTCATAGCACGTTCGACATAATTAGCATCGCTTCTTTGAGACTTTGTGGGTGTTTCATGGGTAAGTAGTACTCCCGTTCTTTGCGCTGATTCCGCAGAGGCTCTGACAGGTGTCTTATGGCCTGTCTGGATGTCGCTACACCAACGGCCAGCCAGCAATACAAATATGTACCGGCAATCTCTCACACCTCTCAAACAGTGGGGCCGTCTAGCAGATTAACTCCATGTCCGCGATGGACTGTGGTCACTCGATGATAGTGAGGACGTATCCCTTCGGCGAGAACGCCTGCGCCGCAGCGCCTGCCAGCGCAGAGCGGCGATGCCTACGCCAGAGGTGCACCCAAGTTCAAGCTGCGGGTCCACGGTGTCCGAGCGGTCAGGGTGCATGTCGAGAACCCTTTTACTACGTACGTTCACATACCTTCAAATCTCCCTGGTCCTTTCCATGGTCCCGTCCACGACCTCTTTCACGTAGAGAAATGCTTACTGACCATAGACGTTAAGGTCCAAGTCGCTGGATCCTTATTGAATCTACTTTTTTCTCCAGTGTTTCCGGGATTCTCGCAAATGTATCGGTAACGATAGAGCGGTGGCTGGTCAAACTACGGAGTCAAACTACAGGAAACATTACATGCCACCTTGTGCTATCTCGTCCTGGAACGCTTTGATGGCGGTGTGGGGAGTGCCCAAACCGAAGAACAACTCCAGGTTTCGTAGGGTAATCGCGGCGTATTTCTCCGACCTCACGAACATCTCTTCCTCCCACGCCGCAACTGCAGCCTCCCTCTCCTCTCGCGCCAGCCCCTTTGACACCGCGTCTGCCAGCACCACTCCAAGCTCGAAACCGTCCTGCATCGCGAGATTCGCGCCCGCGCCGGCAAACGGGCTCATCAGATGGGCCGCGTCGCCGATGATGGTCACTCCCGCCTTGTGCTCCCATCGATGTCCGACGACGAGGTCGAGGAGGGGCCGGACGTAGATCGCGTCTTCGTCGCCCTGTTCGATGAAGCGGCGGATCCACGGCGCCCAGTCAGCGAACATCCCAACCAGCACCTTCTTTGCCTCCTTCGCGTCGCGCGGCAGGGACCAGTCGATCGCGTTGCGGTGGAGAAAGTAGGAGCGGATGCGCCCAGTCCCGTTCCGCTGGAAGACCACGAGCTTCTCGTCCTCGGCAAGGAAACACGTCCCTTTGCCCACGCCGTCGCTGATCTCGCGGTTATCGGACAGGCCCGCAACAGACGGTGCGAGGGAGACCTCTGCGCCGGTGATACCGTGGTAGAGAGGCGCGTCGGCGGAGAGGAGCGGGCGGATGCGCGAGTTACCGCCGTCGGCGCCGACGACCATGTCAGCAACGACAATCGAGCCGTTCGTGAACGTAAGCTCGTGCTCGCCGTTGTCCAGCGGCCGGATGGCAGCGAGGGCGTGGCCCCACTTAACGGAGTCCTTCGGGACCGCGTTGAGCATGATCTCGCGCAGGACGTAACGGTCGATCTCGGGGCGAGCGTGGCGCAGGTCGTCTGAGTCCGGGTTTGCGTCGTCGTGGTGCAAGAGGACTACGCCGTCCTTGCCGCCGACCCTGAACTCCTGGGCGTCGCGGCGGGCGTACTTGCGGAAGGAGTCCTCCATGCCGTTCTCGCGCAGCGCAAGCTGGCCGGACTCCCACTCGAGATCGAGCATCCCGCCGAGATGCGCGCGCGACTCGCTGGAGGCCTCGCGCTCGTAGAGCGTTGCGGGTATGCCACGCTTGTGCAGCGTGAGGAGAACGACGAGGCCAGCCGGGCCCCCGCCGACGATGGCGATGCGAGGCTGAGTCGGGGTGGCTGAGTGGGATGCAGTGAACATGTTGTCTGAGGCTTCAAGGCAACGCGATGCGCTAAACAGAGGCTTCTTGATGAGGATAATCCGGAGTGAACTTTGGAATTCTTATACGCCCTTGTCGTTGCAGTGGTGACCATTATGTCCGCCGGCCAGACTCGCCAGCGCGGCACGGCATATGGCTGGTAGATACATGGCATTCGTAGCTGCGGGGTAAAGTTGCTTCGCCGCAGAGACGTAGTTCTGTCTGGGCGACACATCCATCAAGAAGGAATACGGATATATTGCACGACTCTCTCACGCCGTTCAGGAACTGTGGACCGCCGCGCAGTGGAGACATCGATGAAGGGCGGTGATCGAGAACCAAAGTGTAGAGCTTGGTGAGAGTGACTCGGAGGGCTGATCACTGCGTCGGTTGTGGCCGGAGAGGCCCGTCAAATTGCCTGCGGACCCTTACTGCGTCTGCGCGAAACTGCCAGCACCTTGCCAGTGCAGTAGTACGTTACGAGTACCACCGGCATACATGTCGCGGCCGTCGAGGTACCGCACCCTCATGGATGTTTGTCCGTCTGCAGCAGCGACTCAGCGGTGGTCCGGTGACCCGGTTGTCAGCGGCGGCGGGATGAGCTGCGGAATTTGCAGGTGCAACACTAGCCTTAGCAAAGCCTTAGGGTAGCTTAAAGCCCTTACTGTACTCGGAACGTTTTGCCAGTGATAATGACCGCTAAGGAAGAACAAAGCGTATTCAATTGCAATTCGGAGAGGATTCCTGAGACAACACCACTGTAGTAGAGCTTCTACGTCTGAGCCATGGCGTCCTGGAGTGCTTTGACGGCGGCCTGGGGAGCTGCAGAGCTGAAGCAAAGCTCCACGTTGTTGTACGCAACCGCGGTAAACCCTTCCACCTTCGCGAACATCTCCCCCTCCCACACCGCAACCGCCGCTTCCCTCTCCTGAGGCGCCAGACCTTTCGATACCGCGTCCGCTAGAACCAATCCCAGCTCGACCCCATCCCGCATCGCGAGGTTGGCGCCAGCCCCAGCGAAGGGGCTGATCAGGTGAGCCGCATCGCCGATCAAGGTGACCCCCGGCTTGTGCTCCCAGCGGTGGCCGACGACGAGGTGGAACAGAGGACGTATGTAGATGGCGTTCTCATCTGCGATCTCGATGAACCTGCGGGTCCACGGCGCCCAGTCCGCGAAGATGTCGAGCAGGACCTTCTTGGCCTCCTTCGGGTCGTGCGGAAGGGTCCAGTCGGGCGTGTTGCGGTGCCACAAGTACGCGCGAATACGCCCGCTGCCGTTCCGCTGCAAGGTGAAGACCTTGCCGTCCTCAGCGAGCATGCACGATCCCTTGCCGACGCCGTCGCTGATGTCGCGGTTCTCAGGAAGGGCTGCGACCTCGGGGGCCAGAGAGATCTCCGCACCGGTGAAACCGTGGTAGAGGGGAACGGCGGGGGAAAGTATAGGGCGGACGCGAGACTTGCCGCCGTCGGCGCCGATGACGATGTCAGCAACGACCACCGCACCGTTCGCGAAGGTCAGCTCGTGCTGCCCACCCCCGAGCGAGCGGATGGATGCAAGGGTGTGGTCCCATTTTACTGCGTCCTGCGGCACGGCGTCGAGCATGATCTCGCGCAGGACACGGCGGTCGATCTCGGGGCGAGCGCAGCGGAGGTCGTGGGAGTCGGCCTCGGGGTTGTCGCGACTGTAGAGGGAAACACCGTCCTTTCCACCGACGCGGAACTCCTCGGCGTCGCGGCGGGAGTACTTCCTAAAAGTGTCCTCCATGCCGTTCTCACGGAGCGCGCGCTGGCCGGAGTTCCACTCGAGGTCAAGCATGCCGCCCAGGTGGGCGCGGGACTTGCTGTCGACTTCGCGCTCGTACAGCGTAGCGGGTATACCACGCTTGTGGAGGGTGAGGAGTAGGACGAGGCCTGAAGGACCGCCGCCGATGATGGCGATGCGTGGCTGAGTTTGGTACTGGGAAGCGGTAGACATCGTTCAAAAGAGTCTGGAGAGCTGGATACGAGATGACTTGTCGAGTCTGGTCGGCGAGTGCTGAGGTTTGAGTGTGCATCCCTCTGCCTTTTTATCCCTTTTGTCGCGGTCCTTGTTTACTGGTAAGAGCCGTGAGCACACAACCAAACAACCCAGAGCTGACGTCGATGACATGACACTCACTAATACGACTCGTAATCTCCGCAGACTCGGGAGACACACAGCCGCATCGGGGCTCCGCGGGCGTACCTTCGCGACTGACTCTGCAAGTTGAACAGCGGCAAGATACCAAGTCAATCCCCCGCACTTTACCTGCTTTGCATTTCTTCAGTAAGTCGACACGAAACCCAATCGTAACCCTCTACCCATTCAAAGCAGGACTGAGTGAGGAAGGAAAGACTGGCCAGCCGGCCGCGGAGGTGCATATCTTCCACGGCTCGAACTCCTTCTCCCGACGACGCTGCGCTCGACTCGGTGCGAACGTTGTAACACGACTCTCTGTCCGATGGTGACTTCGATTAGCCATCAATGTGATTCTCCGGCGTTAGCACTCTCTCACACCGGTCAAACAACTCGCGGACTGAAGTTGAGGGCAATCAGGGCGCTTTTGTCAAGTACGTACCCGATGGGCTATCTGAATGTGGGGGCTCGCTGTAGCTGCGGCAGTTCTTGATCCGCCGACGGCTTTATCCTCGGTACTGGGGCTCTGAATCTATTCTTTCATGCATACACATGATTATACACATTCACCGGTCGCATCGGCCATGCGGAATTTGGCGTAGAGCGCCCTTCGGCTCCAGCGGCCATTCTATACCGCGTATCAGCATCAGCTATGCCAAAAGACGCATATACCTGAGAGGAATGCAGTGCTCACTGAACATACCCCCCAAATACTGCTAGTACTCCACCACGCTCTCTTCAGGGAGCTCGAAGCCCAGCTTCCTCCAGTCTGTGGCGCCATACGGCGACGCATACACCACATACCTCCGCAACGTGCTCAGGGCGTCCGCGATCATCGTCTCCGGGATCCACTGCGCGTCCTCGTCGTCGATGCGCAGCCCGCGCCTGCACACGATCGCCAGGAGCGCCTCGATGTCGCGCACGTCGAGGTACTGCTTGAACTGCATATCCGACCGCGTTGATGCACGGTGGTCAGACCACCCCTGGAGCTTCAGCAGCAGCTGTGGAAGAAGCGGCATCGCGGGGAGATGGTGCGGGGCCTTGGTCACGATATGGGCGGGGGAACGTTAGGTACATTGAGGACGCCGGGGATGAGGATGTCGACCTTGCAGCGCTCATATGTGCCGGGGAAGCGGTACCAAAGCACGCGGTAGGTTGCCCGGGGGTTGCGCGAACGGACGAGGGTGTATTGGCTGTCTTCGCGCACGAGGAGCTCCTTGAGCGCCTCCTGGGTGAAGGTGGTAGATAGGACGACGAGATCGACGTCCTTGCATTGCGGTCTGCTCGTGAGTGATGGTTCCATTCGAGCAGTGCTGGATGGGTACTCACATTCGGTGTGCGCTTGACCCCGTGCAGATAGCTCGCGGCGCTACCCATGAGACAGCACTTCAGACCGTGGCTCTCGAAGATTGCGATTGTTTTCCGCGCGACGTCGAGGATTTGTGCAACAGTAAGGAGAGCCATGGCTTGAAACACGAGTGCAAGGGAGAGCGAGAGGTGCTAGTCGTTCTGCGGTTGTCCGTGAGTTACAATCGGTCACCGGTGTGCTGCGGTAGTCTGGCAGCGTGCACGACTATACAGTTCACACACCCATATCCCCGCAATGGAACCCCTGCTACCACGGGCGATAGGTTACATGTACGATAAGCCCTTGACATGATCGAGGGAGGGTTGTATACCGACGCTTCTCAGGGGTGGGTATTGCATGCACGGTCGTCTGGGTGGAGCTCAGTCATTCAATGCTTCGAATTCTTGGATAGACTGTCAGCGAGAGATGCTATCCCATATAGACAGGGGGAGTATGACGAAAGGGTCGTTTCAAGAATGTGACCGAGGATGCATGATTCAAAACACTCGGGACGTGGCACATCCGCGCCAGGACTCATTTACCTTTGAAGAGAAGTATCAGCTCCTCGCGTGTGAGCAATATGGACAGTGGGATATAAACACACCGGCATTCTCGAGTTGCACCACAAAACCGAGAGCCTCCCATTGCCTACGGGTACTCGGAGAGCCGCGGAAGAGATAATCCTGCAGCCTCGTCGACGCAGCAGAGACCATAGACTCCGGCAGCCACTTGAGCACCGGAGATCGGATACGATCGCCGCTTCGATACACGATCTCGAGGAGCTGGTCAATGTCCCGTCGATCAGTGTACTGCTTGAGTTGGAGGTCGCTTCTCGTCGCCGCGCGATGGTCCGACCACGCCTGAAGCTTCAAGAATAGATGGGAGATGAGCGGCATGAGTGGGAGGTTGTATGGAGCCTTCGAGACGAGGTGTTCAGGTGGAACATTCGGAATGTTCATGATCCCAGGGTCGAGTATGTCGACCTTGCAACGCTTGGCGAGGTATGATGAGGGGAAGCGGTACCAGAGGACCTTGTAAGTGGCGTAGATGTTGCGAGAGTTGACAAGATGGAAGTTGGAGTCCGAGTGCACGAGCATCTGCTTGAGCCTCTCCTGGTCATAGAGTTCGGTAAGAATGATTAAGTCAACATCCTATTACCGTGGTAAGACTCCGGGTCGACGTTGGTAAGAGATGTCACTCACGTTTGGAGTGCGGGAGACTCCGTATGCGTAGCTCGCCACACTGCCGACGAGACAACACTTGGGCCCTTCGCGTGCAAAGATCGCAATCGCTTTACGAGCGACATCAATAATATTTGTGGACGAGCAGTATCCGCTCATAGCTGTAGAAAGATAGAAGGGATGATGAGTAGTGGCCGATAGGGCGTTGCGGGACGTAGAAGACGCTGAGAATCAGAAGCTCATCGGGTTCTTGCCTTCCCATTCGATCTTCTCCTCTGAGTAAATCCATGGACGCATTTTCATCCAGGTACGCAGCTCTAGATATCTCAATTGTGTGTCGGCGAATCTTCGGCTGCGGAGCCCTTGTACAACATTCGCGTTTCGAGCGGCAGCGCCCTGGATGATGGAGGTCCGTATGAGTGTCAAGGGCGGTGGCAAATCAAGCGCAGCATATTAGTGCGTCACAGATACTAGAGCGGGAATTGAGATGAGCTACACAAAACCTGGCGAAGCAGATGGCGGCCACCTACGGTTTTGGTGTGTTGACCGACTTCTGTGGCCGCGTTGTACGGCCAACTTGCAGATGAACGTGCCTTGTTCTTTCCGCGCAATAGTCACGAGCTGTTGCATCTCTCCAACAGGATGATGCACCCGCTCGAGTGTGTAGAATGAGTGAGACGATGAAGGAAGGTTCTGAGTGGACATAATTGTGCTAGGGCCTCACAGGTTGATGTAAGCGCCCATCCGGCAAATGCCGAATGAGTGCAGCTGAGCGTCCAGCTCGGACGACCGCGTGGACACATCTCTCGCATTCTCCGTCATCACGCCTGCACATGTACGAGGAACATATTCGCAACGGCCGAGACAGTCTGAGTGTTGCGTGTTGTACATGATCTGGCGAAGACTCGGAGCTGCAGATTTGGTATGTTGCACTACATTTCTGCTCGCTTCCTCTGCCTTATCAAGATGCATGACCGTGACCTCCGGAGCTATTTCCAGATGCTGCACCATGCAGTAGCAGCCTTCTGTACCGCGCGTCTTCCCACCAAGATATGCGATTTGTACCCAGTACCATGCCGTACGCTCTGTTCCACCTCGCTCGGGCGCATGATCATCCAGAGGCGAGAAACCCGTATAAAACCCGTACCTCCGACGGGCGACCTTCAGTGTCCCGAGGTCTCCCTCCTTCCCCATCGCGCACGTTTCCGAGTCGGACATGGGTTTCCTTTCGTACGCCCGGGTTTTTACCGCCGCCTTCGTTATTGGGGTATTTGCTTCGAGGGTCTCTGCTACGGCGGTCCCGGCAGAGACTTCTCTGCAGACTTCGCGTGGGGAGTTTACGTCCCAAGTCGTTCCGGATGCCAAGCTTCGATTTGTACGCAACTCTGGCGTGTGCGAGACCACTCCGGGTGTGGAGCAGCTCTCGGGATACCTCGATGTCGGAACGAACATGTCCATGGTGCGTAACCAGCCCAGAGCATGTTCTGAGTCGGCGTTGCCGAGGCTTGCTCACATGGTCTGATTTGATAGTGGTTCTGGTTCTTTGAGGCCCGCCACAACCCCGAAACAGCGCCCTTCACTCTATGGTAAGCTTGTCGCCTGATGCCCTCTGATATCCCAATGTAACAGTCTGCATAAACGTCAGGCTCAATGGCGGTCCTGGATGCTCCTCCATGATAGGCTTGTTCCAGGGTGCGCCGTATGCACGGATGGCACTTGTGATCGAGTTAACAAGAGTTTCCAGAGCATGGCCCTTGTCAGGTGGAAGCGGATGGGCAGACGACCGTGCTCAACCCGTTCAGGTACGAACTTGAATCTCTGCGCGTCAGATATAACGCGTCTACTGATTCTCCGCGCACACAGTTGGAACAACATCAGCAACAGTGCGCCCATTCTTCTGCGCATCTTGGCTTCCACCGTTCTGACGTTTCACGACAGTTATCTACATCGACCAGCCCATCGGCACCGGCTTCTCTTTTGGCACTGTTGACGTGAACAGCACGTTCGCGGCAGCGCCCGCCGTATGGCAGGCGTTCCAGGTGCTTTTCGAGAGCCAGCAGTTTGCAAAGTTCCAGAGTCGCGAGTACGTCCACCTTCTGCTACAGCATCCCACCATCCCTTATTATGACTTTGCAGGTTCGTGTTCGCGACCGAGAGCTACGGCGGGCACTATGGGCCCGAGTTCGTCACCTTCTTCGACGAGCAGAACGCAAAGATCAAGAACCACACGCTCAAGGGCGAGCTCATCAACGTCAGCGCGCTCATGATCAACAAGTGCGCCCGTCCCTCTTCTCCGGCACTCCTCAGGCGCACTGACTGAGCGCTTGCAGCGGGTGGTACGATCCGCTTCTCCAGAACCAGGCGTACGTCGACTTCGCGACGGATGCACCCGGATACGGTCCTTTGCAGACACCGGCCGTGCTCGCGAAGCTCAACCAGTCGTACTTCGAAGTTGGAGGCTGCCGTGACCAGGAGCTGGCATGCTATGCCGCTGGGGAAGGGCCCGACAGCAACGACATCTGTGGTACCGCAGATGACTTCTGCGTAAGCAGATTTTATCTTAACGGTCTTCGAATACCTGTCGCTCACGGTCATGACGCGTAGGTCGAGAATGTGTTCTTCGCCGCGGTCGGCGACAGGGACTCGGACGACCTCCGCCAGAACTCGTCCACACCGAACCCGTTCCCGCCCGAGTTCTACGTCAAGTTCCTCCGGAACGCGACCATCCTGGACAAGATTGGCGCCCAGGTATGCCACGCTCGTCGTGTTCTTCGCGGATGTATCTGAAGTTGGCGCTCTGTGTGCGCGTCAGGGCCGTTACGCCGAGTGTTCAAACCCTGTCGGAAACCAGTTCTCTAGGACGGGCGATGATGCACGCACGCTGCTCCCGCAGCTCGCCGCGCTCGCAAACTCGCGCCTCAAGATGTTGATTTGGGTGCGTTCCTCATGCTTCTTCGTGTTTACTGGCACACGACTTACCGGCAGATGTGTAGGCCGGTGATGCAGATATCAAGTGAGTTCATCGCGCTCTCAGACCGAGATGGCAGGGATACTAACGCCATATGCAGCTGCAACTGGCTTGGAGGCCACGCATCCGTGCTCGCGATGGACTGGTACGGCAACGAGACGCTGCACCGCACCCCGCTCACGAACATCACCATCCACGGCACCCCTGTCGCCGCTGTTCAGAATGTGGACAACTTCTCTTTCGCGTGCGTATCTTCTCTCCGTCGTTACACCTCGGCACGCCCACTTACTACTCGCATTCCCCTTATGTAGGCGTGTTTACCAGGCAGGGCATGAAATTGTACGTCGCCTATCTTGCAAGGTGCCCGGAGCCATTTTCTGACTTTGGTGTCGTGCGATCAGCCTGCGTTCCAGCCTGAAGCGGCGTTCGAGATCTTCTCGCAGGTCGTGCACATGGAACAGCTCCACTCCGTCCCCTAATTGCCTGTCATAATCAGCAGCGCGTACGCCAAATATATAGCAGCCTCGCCTCTGCTTAGCTTCTTCATGCGAGCTTTATGCTGAGATGTGCGAGGAATCGGTAACGACCTTCCTTCGCACCAAGGTATAAAACGCAGTTTCTCTGCTCTCGAGCATGGCCAACTACACAGGAGGCCTTGGGGCCACTGTACGAGACGTCGCCGAACTGCCATGCTCATAATTTTAACGAGGTTCGAAAGCAGAACAGTACATTGGCAATGGAGAAACGGTCATGGAGCCCCAGATCTCCTCGAACTGTTCTGGACTTGTGAGTCCTTCCTGTACGTCGCTTTTGTTGCGATACCGGATGTGAACTTGGCGTGTCTCGTAGTACATCTTGCAGGTCTCATAATTCAGTACAAAGCCGTACAGCAAGGCTGGCATTGCGCTGGCGTCGGGATCAGTGTAAATCGGGGCAGGATTTGCTATTGACCGTCTCTGCGAGAAATAAGTGCACGAGGGAGCTTTGTGTAAGTACTACGGAGTACGGGTTTGAGAGTAGTAAGACCCCTTGACGCCTATCACAGAAGATAAAGCTGCGAGATGAGCCATAACGTAAGTAGCTCGTATGTTTACATCCGTTGTTCGGGAGGAGAGCTTTGCTAAGTACCAACCACGTACGGCACGGATGCGGGAATTCTATTCGCAAGAGCCATAGGACACACCCTCGATATCAAGGGACCACACCCGTCACGGTACCCGCTTCTGCAGCCTCAACCCCATCCCAGAGCTGTGCGAATATCGCTTCACACTGCGCCTTCATGCGGCCTTCGTCGACGAATTCGATCTTCGCGGGCTCGTTCAGGACACGGGTGAGGCTGCCGTCGTATTCGTACACCGTGTAGTGAAAAACTAGCGGAGGCTCGGCATCGGGTCGGTAATCCTGCCCTCGATCGGCGACGAAGACGCGAGAAAGCGGATATCCCTGCTCCGCGCGTAGGGCTGCGAACTCGCGGAGAGGGTCTACGACGGGCGGTAGCTCCGAAGTGTGTGACCAGTCTACCCACAGCCGCGATAGCTTTGGGCATGCGGGCGGTCCTGCGACGGTGTGCTCGCCGTCTGCGTCGAGCCGAAGGACGGCAAGTACGTTCAAGAGGAATTGCAACGGCCGCTGCTCTTCGTGGTGGAAAGCCTCAGGGGCTACCCGCAGCAAGTCGAGATGAGGGAATGCATGGAGGAGGGAGTTCGAAGGGAGACGCGGCCCACAGAGCGGGTATAGGCCCCATCCCACCGATAGCTTGCGGATGGAGGTGAACGCCAGAGCGGAGAGGGAGGCGCCTAGATCAGGGACCAAATCATCATTATATACCCCATGCGTCGCCTGGAGGGATACTCTCAGGGGACCGCTCTCGATTGAGAACAGGAGAGTGGCCGCCTCAAAGCCGGGATGAGGCTGCGGTGCGGTGATGCTCAACCGCGTGGCGGTGAGAACGCGGGGATACTGCGTCATGGAGGGTTCTATATGCGCTGGGTGCATAAAGCCGAGATGTACTTTGCAAGACGGGGGAATTGTCAAGGAAGAGAGCAATGCGTTCCTGAAAACCATGGCGTCCGCGTACCTCCTGTCGGTGGTATGACGAACCTCGAAAAGGCGGAGCTGTGGAAGATCGATACGAAACATAGGAGAGCCTGTGGGCGGTCCGCGCAGTGTCTCGACCTTCAGGGCTTGCAATCGGGGTGCGGAGGAGAGGAGCTTCAGGAGTTGCCCAACATCACCATTGGGAGACGGGCCGGTGATTGAGAGATCCGTTAGCGCTGGATATATGTTGTGAGGAATGAAGAGAGGACAGAATAGCTTTAAGGTACGGAGCTTCGGTGTATCGCAAAACTGAAATGGGTGTGGTGCACTCGTGTCCATAGGATGGCTGATCCATGCGCACCGTTCGAGATTGGGGAAGCGTGGAAGCGCGAGGGCGGCGCAGCGGTGATATTCGGGGTAGCAGTATCCTAAGGGACCCACCACATGGAGCTCCTGCACACGCTCACGCATTTCTTCGAGCCTGTTTAGCACCGCATTTCCATCCCGAATTTCACGAAGGGTGACGTAGAGAGGGCCATGGGGACATCGGTGGACATAGTTTTTGTATGACAGCGCCCGGCGGGTCCTGCCACGTTCAGCACTATCGTCCGCCACGAATGTCGACCACAACAGTGGTGTGGTTAGGGCCAGCTCGCGCCACCTATGACAGACGGCCGTGAGGGGAAACAGATCCTGAACTCTCCACATGTTGTCGGACACGAAGGTGACGTTGGCATCGTAAGTTTCGTCTTCATCGTCTTCATCGTGATCGGGGCGAAGTAGGGGTCCACGTCGAGGCACGTTCGAAAAGATTTTCAGGAGCAGCTCGGGAGGAAGCCGGTTCACTGCGGAGTGTGAGTTGATGAGTCCCCGGACGACCTTCACGACGTCGAATACGAGCTGGTCGATCGAGTACAGCTAGCATAGTACGAGTGAGCAATCATATCCCTGCAACGTTGATGATCTTTCTGTACCGCTTCAATATCTAGTGTGCTATGGCGAAGCAATCAAGACTCGTGAGTGGCTGGTCGCGAGTCCAAACTAAAGAAAGGTTGTGTGCGTACCTCTGACTGAGCTGTCCAAGATCTTGTTCACGATGCATGGATGCAAGGAGAGCCCGCGCTAGATCGACAGGCTGAGGATTGCCAACTTCGACTGGTGCCATGACTGGTGAGTAAGAAGAAGACAGGATAGTTGGTCACTGTTGTCCGAGCCTCTGCAGAAGAGCCTGTGTGCCTTCAGGTAACCGTCTAGAGAGGATGAAGGAGGAGGAGGAAGAGGGGGTTTGCAGCCAATGCAGTGATCATGGTGTGAGCCTGGTTCCGAGTCGGACAACTGGCGCCTGCTGCATCGTGCCCTTACTCCTCTACCACGACGTCGACCACTGCCAGTTACACAGTGCCGCCGTCTTCGTCCTCGATGGACACCCCATCTCACCGGCTTGACAAGGGAAAGGCGCGGGCGCAAGACATTGAGCCCACCGAACATACACCGCTCCTTGCGTCGACCTCAGGCTCTCTCTCTTCGTCTCGCGATGCCAGCATCGAGAACCCTCGTACGGCGCGCCGAAGACTCTACTCTCGACTGCTTTATGTCTTCCTAATATCTCTGTCGATTTGTGTCTTGGTCTTCGCGCTGGTGGCTATCATCGCGTACTCGTACGGCTCTCATGCCTCTCAAATTCCGCCGGAAGAGATCCTGCAGCGCGCTCTAGTCATGCAGGGGCCGGATAGAGTGGAGGTCCTCTCCGCGTCGCCGGAGGAGGGCGTTCTGCTTCTGGTTTCTGGGAGGGTCGGCTTGGACGCTGGCATAGTGGTCGGTGTCAAGCGTGCAGAGGACGACGGTGTGTTTTATTCAATGTGGAAGTCTCTCGGACGGTGGGGTATTCGCCGCCTCGACCGCGTCACAACAACGCTCTCCTCAATACAAGTGTCGCCGAGGGCGCATCCGGACGACGTGCTGGCGACGATCACACCCATGCCATTCGAGATTCCACTCACCGCCGACCCTCCTACGAAGGGTTTTGGCTGGCTCACCCCTGTGGAAGTCCCAGTGCGCATCAAGCCGACTAACGACGTCCCTGCGCTGCTTCGGTTCGTCCGGGAGAGCTGGAAGATCGGCTTTGTGAGCGTACAGGCAAGCGTCCCGCAGGCGGTCGTGCATGGCGGCGGGTTGCGCGACTCTGGGTGGAGAAGTCTCTTTGCGGTGTCGCACACGAACGTTCGCCCAGTGATAAACATGAAGAGTGAGTGCAGTCACGCCTGCGTCCACGTATGCAAAGCTCATCCGCATTAGTTCCCCCGGTTCCCGGCCTGCCTACCCCCGGAAATAATAGCGAGCTCCCCAACTTCTCCGATATAGTCACCCTCGAGTCGTTTGATATAACTTCAGAAGACGACACCATTCGCATCTCCGCCAACGCCACGGCAATAAATCCTGTACCACTAGACCTCGAGTTCATCTCGCCGCCACTCCCTTTCATCATCGCTCTCCCCTCGCCCGATTCTTCTTCGGTCCCAGTGGCCTCCGTGCACTCACATCCCTTCGCTTTGACCCATCCGAACATATCCTTCACCGTGGACGGAACCGTCGTTCCACTTGCGAATAACGCCTCTGGCGCCCTTTCGGTGTTCGTGAGCGAGTACATCTCCGGGCGGGACGCCGACATACAAATCACCACCCCGCTCCTGCCTAACCTTATCGTTAACACCACGTTCCCCGCACCACGTCCCAAGCCGGAGATCCTGCAGAACGTGTCGATCACGGACATGCACATCAAGCCCGTGGGCACGATGATGGTGGCCAGCGGGACCGTGCACGCGCTCGTCGTTTTACCGCGCGGCATTAACGTCGGCGTAAACGCGAGCCGCGTCTTCCCGGATGTGCTCGTGTTCGACGGCGCGGTTCCCGGCCCTGGTACGAACGACTCAGATACCGACTCTACTGGGGACAAACACAGCGACCCGCCGCCTGCGCAACCCCTACCTGACCCGCTCCCCGCGCATGCGTTCGCGCACATCCTCCCGGAGGACTGGCTGCCCGCGGAGTGCGTATCGGTAGAGGGTCCGGAGGGCTCAGGATCGACCGTCGCAGTGACGGCGCACATCGTGGACGTTCCATTGGAGGTATTGCCCGGGCGCGAGCGCGAGTTCAGCAATTTTGTGTCCAAGGTACGCCCGTCTTCCCATCGCTTCGCGTGCCTTCATTGACGCTGAACCCTTGCGCGCTCTCTAGGTAATCTTTGGCACCCAGGGCGCGCTCGCAGGTGTGCAGGGCGTGGCAGCGGTCGCCGCGCGCGTGAACGGGCTGCCGTTCGCCAACGGGCGCGACGGCGAGATGGAGCTGACTGGTCTCCCGTTCCAGGGGAGTGTACGGATAGGGAAGAAGGGCGGACTTGGCGGACTGGACTGATCTTGTTGCATAGAACATTGTTTGCATATTGCTCCGACTCTTGCTGTAACTCTGCACCTCTGTTCGATACGATATTCTTGGACCCATACGGGGTTTTCAAGGATCGAGCTGACACCAGATGCGATGATGCTCGAGGCTAACTGGCGCAAAGGTAGGTTTAAATTCGCTCATACCCGTCCAGGATGCATGACAGGACATTATCGTACACTTCGCAGGAAGTCTGCATCAATTCTCAAGTGGACCCGCCTCCCTCGCCGTGACTAGTTGAAGTGCTTCACAACGATACCGTTGATGACCTCCTCCTCGACGACGTCATCGCGTTTCTTGAGCTGCGCGGTCCCATACGAGCTCGTGCGGCCCTTGCGCCACTCCTCCATGAGCGGCGCCTGCGCGTCGTCCTCCCAGCGGCGCTCGACACCCTCACGCTGCAGCACAGGGCTGTGGAGCATAGGTGCGAGCTTCACTTCGTCGTCCGCAAGCGCGAAGTAGAACACGCCGAGGCGGGGGTAGCCCTGCTGGTCCGCGGGCGGCTGGCGCACGCGGTGGATCGTGCCCTTGTAGAAACCGCCGGAGAGGAACTCCATCGCCTCGCCGGCGTTGATGACCTGGGGCCGTGTCAGTCTGTGCGCTCGTTGATAACAGTTAAAGGGAAGGATAGGAACATACCAGGGCGTTGTCGATGTGCTTGACCCAGCGCCACTTGCCGTCGGGGGACATGATCTGTAGCGCGGCCACGGGCTGGCTCCAGAGGATGGTGACCGTACCAAAGTCTACGTTCTAAATGAGCATTGGAGTCGGTAGACGAGCTTGTAGATGAAGTATACCTTTGTGGCCCTTGAGCCAGACGTTCCTCGTCTTCTCCTCATCCTCGTTCGTTCGGGGGTAGCTGTTCGACGTGAGCGTAGTTCGCTGGGCGCGGGTAGTGGAAAGCACGCACTACTTCATGAAACGAACTGTAGGTCAACTGCGTGTCAGCTTAGTTCACATCATGATGTATTAATATACGCACTCCACCCCTCTCCCTTATGGTCGTAGCCGTGGAAGTCTACGAACGTCTCTTCAGGCAGCTCCATACCGCGCGCAAGCAAACTGGATAGAGGCCAAATCAGAGGCAGGCTACACCTGAGGAACGAAACATACCGAAGGATAGGGTGAAGGATGTTGTAGTGGTTGTGCTCGGCGAACGCGCGGATCTCAGGCATGAACGGCTTCAAAGCCTGGGGGTGGTCCTGCTGAAGGATCCCGCGATGCACTTTACGAGAGAAGTCAGTTGCAATATGCACTCGGATACTAGACTCAACGCACTGTTGTAGTGCTCGATCTGGTCCCGGACACCATTGTCGATGTGCTATCCCGCAGTCGAGGGTAAGGAGCACAATTCTAGTGGCTGGCTCAGCGGAGAACACCCACCCAGTACTGACGCAGCTTGTAGCCCTTGTAGAGCCCCGTCGCCTTGATGTCGTACGAGAACTTCTTCTTCTCGTCATCGGCCACCTGCGTGAACGGAACGTCCGCGATGTCGAAGATGCGCTCGTTCTTCAAGTGTGCGACATTCAGCCTTTACACAAATTTCCATCACCCTCCCCAGCTCACCTGTGCTTGGTTCAAGCCGTGGTTGACGACATACATGAAGCCGTATGTGCGCATGGCGTCGCGCACTTGTGGCGCGAGAGCCTCCCGCCCTTCGGGCGTGCTCGCTTTGGAGAGGTCGATTATCGGAAGGTCAGCCCATTCCACTGTATAAGGTAGAGGTCAGCTATGCTAGTACCCTGAAAGACAACAAGGCAAACGTACGCTCTTCCGTCGTCGGTGGAGCCGGGACATAGTGAGGCACGGGAGGGATTGTTGTGCCAGGCATCGGGTACTAGTCGAGCTTTCGAGGCTGGTGGAATGAAAGTGATGCTTATGCCTGGAGTGCGTCGTTAACGACGGCTCTGAGACCCTCAACTGTACCGGAAAAGAACGATCTATATACACGACCGTGGTCATACAAGCTCAAAATTTGGAAGTGAGTGTACGGCGTTTGCGCCCTATGACCAACGTGCGAGGGGAGCACGCAATCGCGCAGGCCGTCATGAGTTCGCCTCAGAAGAGCATGATGCGTGAAGCCCCACGCAGAAATAGCGGTGTATCAAGGCGGGGGGTTGCCGCTTCGGCCTCCCGCGGCGGAGGGACTCGAATGGTGAGTGGAGAAGAGAGGGGCCATGTCGAATAGGACTACAGTATCCGGTGCTGCATTCTAGGCGCGAGACGCGAGGGGTCTATGTACTTCGCCCACCCCTGGGTTCCATAGTCTCGCACTAGAGCCCGAGGTAAGAAGGTCAGAAAGGAACACCGTGGTCATACTCTGGGAAGTGTGGGGAAACAGACGTACCTCTCTGATTACTGCGGGGTTCTACGGGGCCTTGGAACTCCGCGACAGCCTCGGGTTCCATCTATACCTGTAAGCCGCATCGTCTCCCGCGAGCGTGTGACCATAGAGAGACTTGGGCCGTGCATATCACGAGTACAACGCTATCAGGTCATTGGCTCCATTCTAACTTACATAGAGGATACATAGAGGATAGCGCGGCTGAGGCCAGCCCTAGTTGTAGTGCTTCACTACGACTCCGTTGATGACTTCCTCTTCGACGACTTCGTCCTTCTTCTTCAGTTCAGATTGGCCATACGCACTTGTTCGGCCCCGTCGCCACTGCTCCATCGTCGGCGCATCGGCGTCGTCGCACCGGCGTACGATGCCGGCCCTCTGCAACGCAGCGCTCTCGGTAAAGGGGATGAGCCGGACGTCGTCGTCCGTCATCGCGAAGTAGAAGGCACCAACACGTGTATGACCGCGCTGGTCCGCGGGGGGTTGGACGACGCGATGAATAGTAGCCTTGTAGAAGCCGCCTGAAAGGAATTCCATAGCATCCCCCGCGTTGACGACCTAGCACAAGAGAGTGAATACCGCGTGAGAAAAGCGCAAGGAAAATCGTACGAGGGCATTTGGGATATGCTTGACCCATCTCCATTTGCCGTCTGGAGACAGGATCTGCAAGGCGGAAACGGGTTGGCTCCAGAGGATGGTAATTGTACCGAAGTCTAAGAAGGCAAGACCACAGGAGGTCAAAGAAGCCTAACATGATCGCGTCGCATGTCACTAACCAGTGTGTCCCTTAAGCCAGACGTTCTTAGTCTTTATCTCCTCATCATCAGTCCGAGGGTAACTTCGGTGGGGTCAGTTGACGGAATTGGGCGATTAAAGTACCGACAACTCACTATTTCATGAAGCGAACTAGATTATGATACCGTGTTGAGTAGGCCATTAACAGGCAAGGAAACAGCAGCATACCATAGGTCTCTCCCTTCGAATCAAATCCGTGTTGTTCAACTAGTGCATCTTCGGGGAGCTCCATGCCCAGTGCGAGGAGCCTTCAAGGGCGTCAAGAACGTCAACAGCATGCTGAGCACACTCGTACCTGAGTAGTGGATGGAGTACGTTATGGTGATTGTGTTCAGCGAAAGCGCGTATCTCCGGAAGAACCGGCTGCAAAGCCTTGGGGTGCTGCTGGTTTTGCTGGTCTATCGCTCGGTGTACTGCCACAGAAAGTCAATATACGTTCAATGATTCAACTATGGACTCACAGTTGTAGTGTTCAAGCTGATCATGAACACCGTTGTCGATGTGCTGGACGTAATGTTCAGAGAAGCCACAATGAAGGTCATTTTTCGAAGCTACTCACCCAGTAGTTCCGAAGCTTGTAACCCCTATATGATCCCGTCTTCTTGATATCCCCAGCGAAGAGTCTTTTCTCTTCTTCGGGCACCTGAGCGAATGGCAGGTCTGCGATGTCAAAGACCCGCTCGTTCTATTCTCGCCGCAGCATCAGTACGAGCGAACATGCGCGCGGCAATGTCGCTGATACGTACTTGCGTCTGAGTATATCCGTGATTGATTATGTAGAGGAAGCCTTGAGTTCGCATCGCATCCCTTGCTGGGGGCGCGAGCTCCGCGCGACCCTCCGGCGTACCGGCCTTCGAGATGTCAATAATGGGGATATCTGCCCATTCCACTACGTCGTTGTTAATTTGGTACATCCCGCGCAATTTGACACATGTACGCACATTCTTCATGAGTTGGGGGCGCAGGTTCATAGTGCGGGATAGACGAGAAGGTTGTCGCAGGCATGTCGATGTGGCTTGCAGGTAGAAAGCTTTGAACGCAGTCGTCGATCTCAGAGAACTGTGGGAATGCTCCTGCCCTTGATATGAACTTCTGAGTCTCTGAGAAGCCGGAAAGCCGGGAGACGTCGACAGTGCGAGAGCATCACGCAATCGTGTGGAGACATGGCGAACCCTCCACGGCATCCTGCGAATCTTCGTGCGAGCCAATGACCTGAGCTTGAGACCGGTCGCGGCACTCAATGAGCCTGGACAGGGTACCGTGTTGGCAAAAGGGATTGGTTCACGGTGAGGTGATGATGGTGAGCATCTGAGTGAGTGGTAGTCGGACCAAAGACGGACTCCCGTCAAATGTGATCGCCGCATCTGGATGTTTGGGGATGTTTGTACTACGTTCAGCACAGAGAATTGGCCGATCGAAATCGCTATCTCTCTCTCTTTCTCCGTGTTTGAGAGGTCTCTTAGTACGAGCCCGACAAAAGAACATAGAAAACACGGAGTCGCAAGACAAGCAAGACATAGAAGTAATGTTACATGAGAGAAAATCGTCCGCAGTGCTCATGAGTCGCCGGCAATACGTCAGTGCGCCCCCGCTAATTGTAGTGCCTCACCGGAACGCCATGTATGATCTGCTCCTCCACGACGTTGTCTTTCTTCGTCAGCGGCGAGAGACCATAGGCGGCCGTGCGTCCGCTTCGGTACTGGTCCATCGTCGGCGCCTTGTCGTCGTCGAATCTGCGCACAACCCCGACCCTCTGCAGCACCGGACTTTCCAACAGAGGCTTCAGCCTCACGTCCGCGTTAGCCGACCCGAAGTAGAAGACGCCAAGGCGGTTACAGCCTTGCTGATCCACCGGAGGCTGACGGACGCGGTGGATGGTGCCCTTGTAGAAGCCCCCGGAAAGAAACTCCATACTGTCACCGATGTTTACAACCTGGGCCGATAGACTTCAGCAACGCTAAGATGCACATGAAGAACACGACGCTTACCAGAGCGTTGTCGATGTGCTTGATCCAACGCCACTTGCCGTCAGGGCAGAGGATTTGGAGAGCAGATACCGGCTGGCTCCAAAGCACAGTAACGGTCCCGATGTCTGCAAGCATGATGTTAGAGACACGAGTATCAAAGAGATAACTGACAGTACCTGTGTGGCCCTTAAGCCATACATTCTTCGCCTTTTCCTCGTCCTCTTCGGGGCGCGGGTAGCTGGTCGAAACGAAGATGAGCAACGTTGACATGCGTCACTTGTCGGTGTTAAGGAATGACGTACTACTTCATGAACCGCACTGTGCGCGGGACGTGAGCGAGAGAAGACTATCATGTTTATTCAGAGTGCACTTACGGTAGGTCTCCGACTCATCATCAAACCCGTGGAAATTGGCAAAGGTGTCCTCTGGGAGCTCGAGTCCGCGAGCGAGGATTCTATCAATGAATCTAATTTTTTACTCAAACAGCCCCAACAGAGCAGACGTACTGCAGAATGGGCGTCAGGATCTTGTTGTGAGTATATTCGGTAAATGCCCGCATCTCCGGCAGGAACGGCTGCAACGCCTTCGGGTGGCTCTGCAGCTTTGTAATCGAGCGATGAGCTAGACGAGGAAGTTCAGCTTCGAAAGGTTGCATCATGGTGCGGTTGAAGTACTGTTGTAATGCTCAAGCTGGTCCCGAACTCCGTTGTCGATTTCCTGCGCACATCATAAGACCTTCGACGTCCGACCGCCAACGAGACGGACCGCACTCACCCAAATCCGGCGAGGCTTGAAACCTCTGTAGGACCCTGTGGCTTTGATGTCTGACACGTACCGCTTCATCTCCTCCTCGGGCACCTGGCTGAAGGGAACGTCTGCGATATCGAAGATGCGGTCGTTCTGCACCTACGTCTCAGTAAATGCGCCATGCAGCGACATGGCTTCACGCACCTCGGCTTGAGTCATGCCGTGGTTGATGATATACATGAACCCGGAGGTTTGCATCGCATTGCAGACCTGCGGCGTAAGCACGGCACGGCCCTCAGGTGTGCTCGCGTTCGAAAAGTCGATGATGGGTAGGTCCGCCCATTCCACTGCGACATAGTGAGCATTGATAAGGATAGGTGCACTCGCGCAACATGAGGAGCAGACGTACGATCCTCCTTGGTTGGGGGAGGGTGGACGTAGTGGGGGACAGACGGGACCGTCGGGACTGGCATGCTGTTGGTAATGTGAGACTGACACTGGGTGCGGCACGATACTCGTTAGCTGCCCACGGACGAGAAAGCGTCCGCGTATAAGTATGGAGCTTCAGCGTTCACGCGTTCACGACTTCGCGGACTGCTCCTCCCAAGCTATTGACCGGCTTCCTGAAAGAGGGAAGCTTTCTCCCGTATCAGCGAGAGGAACAACCTTGGCGTGCAAGCAGATAACGCGCTGCTATGAATATGCAGGCGGGGAGCCGTCCGTCGACGCTGACAGTTCTCGCAGGAAGAGCCTCTCAGGTGACCTGCAACTATTCAGAATAAGCAGCCGAGCAAGCAACTACGACGGCGATAGAACCTACCGGCGAGAAGCTAGCTAGCTCTTCCAAGCATACGCAGTAAACAAGCTGACCTTGTGAGAACGCACCACGCTTCCTCGCAGCCACGACCCACTCCCATAGACAAATCAGCAAATATACCTGCCCAGCAGCGGCGTACATCTATAGTCCACAGGGTATCGAATCCTCTAAGAAAGATAGCTCCCCACCAGCACCACCAACAGGGCCAGCACGAGTACAGCCGACCCTGCGACCTGCGTCCCGTAGTCGCTCCAGAAGTCGTTCACGTCGAAGGCCGGTTTCGGCCCTGGCTCCAGCGCGACTGTGACGTGATGCACGGTGCCCGGCGCATTATCGTGCGTGAGAATGGCCAACGTCTGGTGCTCGGCGTCGTACGTATACGCATCCTGCGGCTTGAGCCCGCGCACGACCAGCTTCCGCCCCTGCGCGAGCTGCGCAGGCACGAAGATCTCCGTCCTGTTCGTCGTTAGCGGCGGGTGGATCGAGCGCGGCGGGTTGTGCACGCTCGCCAGCGCCGCCTTCCCGGTGTCCGCGGCCGCGTCGTCGGGTGTGGCCCACTCGTACGTGAACTCCCCGTTGTTCATCTCGTACTCGAACCGCAGCGGAATGCCCGCCGTCTTCGCAGGGTACGGCCGCACGACCGCGCGCAGGATGCGCCCGCCGTTGTCGAGCGTCGGCGACGTCTGCTTGTAGTCGAGCCACGACGTCGGCAGTGCGCGCCGCTGGCTGAACCACGAGAAGTTCTCGCCGTTCCAGTCGTCCCCGCGGCGGTCGTCGTTATCAGGGTTATAGTTCCACAGCCTGAGCGGGGCACGGTACGGTGAGCGGCGTTCGCGCAGCAGGGAGAAGGCGACTTACGTGAACCCAACGAGGGAGCGCTCCAGCGCCGTGAGCATCGCGTCCATCATCTTTGTCTGCCAGTCCCACCTGTCCGTTTCGAATGCCTCGCCCTTGCTGCATTGGTACACATTAGGCGTATATTTCACACCGGCGGCAGAACACTCACTTCATGTCCATGGGGATGCCGCACTCGCCGATAATGACAGGGGTCTCTCCGAGCGAGCGGTAGCCGGCTTCGACGATGTTGCGCATTTGGAGCGCGAAGTTGTCCCGCGCGCCCTTCTGGCCCCAGTAGAAGGCCTTCAGTGGGAACATGCCCTGAAGAAGGCTTCTTAGTACGATAGAACGGGGCTGATAGCGAGGATTAGCTTACTCGGGATAGTCCCTGGACGTTGACGGAGAAGTTTCCGAACGCCTTCATGAAGAGCGTGTTGAGGTCGTACCTGCATGTGATGTCAGCGCTGCGATCCGAGCCTAAAAGAGGCCGTCGTACTCACCAGTGGGGAGCATAGACCACGTTCGTCGGCCGACGCTCGGGCGTCCACGAGCTAGGGCAGAACTGCAGCAACATAGTTCAGTACTCGGTACTACTGATAGCGCAAAGGCAGGGGTGTACCTCGTTCGGGATGGGCTCCGTGAAGACCAGCTTGTCCTCACTCGTGACGCTGCGCACGCGCTCCGCCCACTTCTTCACAAACGGATAGTAGAAGTCCGTGTACCAGTCGATCTCCCGCCCGCTGTGCGGGTCGCGCTTGAAGTAGTTCTCGCGCAGCACCACGCCCTCGTCCTTCTTATGGTCCCAGCCCCATACGCCGTGCATCTCCCAGAGACATTTGCCCTGCGTCGGCCCGTCTTCGCGCCACGCCTTCTGGCCAGAGGTGTTGATGATGCGTTGCGATGTCTTCCGAGTGGGTAAAGGGAACGAGCGCGTCCAGTGGCCAACGGCGACCGAGTGGCCGGAACCCAACATGAATGACTGGAATGCCGTCGCTGACCCAACGCGTTAGACAGGTTTACAGTGCTAGAGACTTCGCTACTTACGGACGTGGCCAAGGTGAAGGTCGGTGTTGTAGTCGAACGCGTGCAAGGACTGCAGCTCAACATACCCTCGGTGCGGCTCGTTCATTATCTGCGATACCTAAGAAACTCGTCTGATCGCACGAGTGAATGACTTACCTCGAAACCGATTACCGCCTCAAGATTGCCGAGGGTCCTCGCAATGACTTCCCACATGTTCAAAAATGAATCTTGCAAGAACTGCTGGATGGATACCTCTCGTCCATCCGTAGTCTTCGTCTTCATCTTCGGCGCGAACATATCACCCGCCCAGAAACAGGTTCTTGATGAACGCACGGTCAATGCGTGCAGATTTGGAATGATACGAGGACTTACGCCATCGTCGCCGCAGCCAGTTTTTGGTAACCGCACGGCCACAGACCTCGCTCGTCCTCGGTGTGGCCTCCGCCCTTTACGCCCTTGAGCCAAGCGGCGCCCGGCTCTTCGAGACCGTGTAGGTCGAAGCCGACTGCTTCCAGCGTCCATGCGGGCGCACCAGACCCGCCGGTGTACCTCGACCACACGTCCTGGTGCAGAGCCACGAAAGCGACGAGGCCGTACTGGGGAAAAAGGGACAGCAGCTGGCGCACGTAGTCTAGATATTCTGTGTCATACACCTCGCTGCAGGGCGGTAAGTGACATGCAGCTCAAGGGCAATGTAACATACTAACTCACGGGCCGGAGTGTTCCACGGCCTCCCAGGTGATGAGGAAGCGCACTGCAGCGGCATATTGGATACAAGCAGAGCAACAGTGAAGGGGATAAGCTTACCGAAGGTGAGCCCCCAACGTCTGAGTCTGGCCAGGTGGTCCGGAGCTTCCTCGAGAGGAAAGGGTCTCCCGACGAAAGTCACGTCGGCATGGTTTGCCGGAAACGAGTCATGGTCATGATTCACTGGACTTCGCTGATGCTTAGGTATGTGTAGCAGCACGGGGAGGGAGTTAGAAGGACACATACGTTTTGCAGTTCCCTGACAGATTCACTCCCCGCAGATTGCAGACACGGCCGTACGCGTCCACGAAATGGCGTCCGTGTGTAGAAAGCTTGCCGCCAGTTCCTGCGCTAGACCAGTCATGCGCGTAGGTGACACCGGTAGAACCAGAGGTAGACGGTTGCGCAGGAAGAGCATCTACGGACTTCTCCTGCCCGACCATGATGAACGAGGCATCGGAAGCGGTCCGAGACAGCATGTATCACAACTAGATGCAAAAGTGGATGCTCGCAGTGACCGTCGACTCTTCAATGCTGCAGCCTTGAACAAGTCGTAAATATCGCGGAAAGGACCGTCAGAGAAAGATGGCAGGAATTTGGAGGATGGAGGTTTGAGAATGAGTGCAGCTTGCCAACGAACGGACCCAGCACACGTTAGCGCCCATGGTATGTCAGGTAGGCGCCCAATCGTTCTCGAAACCAGTGAGAGTCGAGTCTCGCGATCATCTCTTTCTCTCTCTCAGATGTACTCACTCACTAGTAAACGTAAGCTCAACTTACTCCAGAACAGGAATAATCTGTGTCTAAGCTGGTCTGTCTCCCTCAGGTGATCAGAAGTATTCGGCGGTCTCTGCACTACCCCTGCGCAGCGCCCGGGTCCGGATCCTATTCCAGAGGCCGCCGGTTTATTCCAGCGGGTGCAACCCCTCCCCTGGAAACCACCTTGAAACCGCATGGCAAGGTGCCTGTCAGCTACAATACAAATATGCAACGTGAAATCCGAATGCAAAGCTGCCCGCCCTCACCACAGTTCCTCCCTGGCCCAAACCTCAGCGCGCGCGCTCCGGATACGCCGAGTCAGCGTACTTAGCTGTGTGAATTCCTTTAAAACGAGCGACGTTCTCTCACGACGCCGGACCACTCCGCTCATCACCTAAGTTACAGTACGGTGAATCCTTCCATAGAAGCTATCCCAGCATTCAACATCAGACGCAGCTTCATCCCGACTTGAACCTCTTCCGTCATGACGACTCTGGCATACACCTCCCTTGAAGACATTCCAAAGGTCAGAGCATTCACACCGTACTCGCGAGCCTGCGGTAACAAGCAAACACTCCCTCCCAGATCCACGAGCGTGCACGTCAAGCATTTCTCTCGGGAAAGACAAAGTCTATCTCTTTCCGCAAGGCTCAGATTGCGCAAGTCGGGTACCTCATCAAGGACAATGAACAGCGTATCAAAGATGCCCTAAAGCTCGACTTGTGTCGTCCTGAGTTCGAGACTGAATTGTAAGCTGACATGAAGGATCCGACTCGCAGTTTCGACGCCGCAGCCTCACCTTTCCTCGTTCGATAGTTCTGACTTCACCGCCACGTACATGGACGTGCGGTCGTCATACGACAATGCCGAGAAATGGTCAAAACCTCAGAAGACGGACTTCAACTTCAACTTCTTCGCCATGAGCCCGAAGACGAAGGCAGAACCCAAAGGCGTCGTGCTCTTCGTTGCGCCATTCAACTTCCCGGTTTTCCTCATCTTCTCACCTCTGGTAACATATATGCGAAAACACATTATCTCGGCATCTGGACTCATTTTGCGATGTGCGTAGGTTAGCGCTATTGCAGGGGGCAACGCAGCCGTTATCAAGCCCTCCGAGCAAACCCCTGCTTTTAGCGCTCTTATTGCCGAACTCGTACCACAATACTTGGACAACGACCTTTTCCATATAGTCAACGGTGGACCGACAGAGACCACCAAGGTGACGCAGAAATGAACATCGTCTGAAACGGTTGTCTAATTTACAATTTCAGATCCTTGAGCTTCGCTGGGACCACAGTACGTCATAGTATCACACCTCCGTTTTGACTGCACTTCTAATACTCCCTCCAGTATTCTACATCGGTATGTTATCATCGGCCAACAACTATATGTAGTGCGCTCTAAACTTGAAACACACAGGCAACGGCCGCGTCGGTCGCATTATCGCTACGGCGGCGGCGCAGCATCTTACCCCGGTAACGCTGGAGGTAGGCATCTCTAATCTAGATCACGTCCGCTTGCCTAACGCGCCTTTTGCTCCAGCTTGGAGGTAATATATTGGCGTAGTTGACGGATGGTGGAGCCGTAGCTCACAACAACATAGGGAAGAACCCGGTCGTCGTCGATCCGAAGTGCGACGTGAAGCTCGCCGCGCGCAGGATCCTCTGGGGTCGCTTCTCCAACGCCGGCCAGGTGCGCCTCTTGCTGTGTGCCATGTTGCGGTACACTCACGTGCTCGTGCAGACATGTCTCGCCCCGGAGTACGTTCTCGTTCCGAAAACGTTCCAGGACAAGTTCGTAGAGGCCCTCGTGGAAGCGTCAGTTGCTTCACAACTGGGTACACCCTGGCGCCCTGCTAACCTTGTTGCATTTCAGTTATCACTCCTTTTATCCCGAGGGCCCGGCGAAGTCAGACTCCTTCAGCAGAATCGTCTCGGAGAAGCACACGGCACGTATCAAGCAGATGATCGACGGGACGAAGGGAACGATCGTCGTCGGTGGCGATGCGGACATCTCGCAGCGTTACATCGCGCCAACCATCGTTAAGGATGTCCGAGGAGACGATTCCCTTATGGCGGAGTAAGCGACTACGTTCCGCTGTCGAGAGTAGGCTCACCTTATACCGAACTTCGTAGCGAAATCTTCGGACCTGTGCTCCTCGTTATCCCCATTGAGGGTGTCGACGAGACTATAGCCTTTATTAATGGCAGGTAAGTACAGATGACCTTAATCGAGGGAGGCTGTACCCTTACTGACACACGAGCAGAGACTACCCGCTCGCGATCTACGTCTTCTCTAAGGACAAGAATTTCCAGAAAAAAAGTGCGGCATTCTTTACACTGTTCATGAGTGTAGCCTGTATGCTTTTCGTCCCTACTGATAACACTCTCAATAGTCTTTGACAACACGCAGAGTGGATGCGCGTCCACCAACGAGACTGTCATCAGTGCAGGCGGTACGCTTTCAGTCTCAGATGCTCCGCTATCTTTACGCCTTCCACTCGCATTGGTTTCGTTCGTCTAGTTCCGGGATTGCCCATGGGTGGCATCGGCGGCAGTGGTTGTAAGTCCGGAGATGACATATTTAATACGCACATAACTCACTCTCTAGGTAGACGGGTACTACACCGGCAAGCACGCATTCGACGAGTTTACCCATCTCCGTGTCTCTCTCGATAACCCAGGCTGGTACGTACGACTCGGACCCCCTCTCGTCTCTCCACCCCCATTTCGTGGGATCCATCTGACGCCCGCATGTACACATCCAGGGTCGACAAACTCGCTCTGGGTGTCCGTTACCCACCCTACAAGGTCAGTACCTGACCGCTTCCTCGCCTGTCTGAGTCTCCGCTCACCCCTCCTGCCGAGCCCTCCGCAGCCAAGCAAGGTGCTGGCGCTGCTCGCGCCCGGGCTGCCGCCGCGCCCCGTCGGCGGCAAGCCGGCGGCAGCGAAGAGGTGGGCGTTCTGGCTCGCGGTGGCCGCCGCCGGCGCTGCAGCGGTGTTGTTGACCACCGGCCCTGGCGCGGGGCTTCTTGCGCAGTTCCGCAAAGCTGTGAAGTTGGCGGGGTGAGATTGCGCGCTTGTGAGCGCGGGATGCCGTGCGTCGGCGGAGGATGAGGTGCGTTCAGGAATCAATTGGGTCATGTTCCTGAATTTTGAGCGTGGGCTGACGAGGGCGTGCTAGCTCGAGCCTGTTGTGTTTGTGTTGGATGTTGTATCTATTCGCCCCTCGCCGATCGTTTGTATAAATGCTCAGGCCTCAGGAGTTACCTGGCCTCTTAGCGCTGAGCTTGGGGTGCTAGAACTTCAAAACAAACATCGTCTCTCCAACCATCTCAGTACGTCCCTGGTACTCAAGAACAACATCACAATTATTCCCCGCAGCAGCTCTCCAGGCTATTTTTGCAACACGATGATCTACGCTCCTTGTCGATATCGAACCTCGAAGCTACGTGCAGATCTATGCATGTTCCAACAGAACCATAAGACGGCATTGCACTGGCCCGCCGTTTCCAGGTGAGATCCTCGCATGTCATCGCGCTGAGGCACGGCAACGCTCACATTGACGTATATGTAGTGCGGTCACATCGCAATAGCGCTACCTCCGAGCAAACTTGGGTGGCACGACGCCCTTCTGGTTACACGGTACTGTGATCTGGGCGCGTAGCCGTCATCACGGGCGCTCGCCCTGAGAGAATTTGGTACCATCCATTGCATACCGACCTTACTGCTAGTCCTCGATCGACGTCGCGTGCTCGGAGTATAGGAGATCGACTGGTGAATCTTTAATGTCTTAGAACTGTTCCATGAACGGGACAAATGGGGTTCCTCAACGTATTCAAAGCTGGTGAGTGCCGGCACCCATACGCTGTAAACCCGTGGTTATTGGCAACTTCTTTCGGAAGGTCATTCTATCAGCATGGAGCTCACGGCCGATCTTTGATGTATCAACAGCAGCGCCCACGCAAGTACGAGCGGCGTGCGGACTGTATGAGATTCAAACGCGCTACAATGGCCCAGCGGCGGTGAGCGCGGGTGCACCGACCTATCCTGTGAGTCTGTGGTTCAAGTTCGTGCCTTTCTCGAGCTACGGGGCTCATCACACCATAAGTACGCTGTGGTCCAAATTCTCCCCCACAGCCTGTGGTGCACCAGCTCGCATCGTCCGCGCCGTCTACACCGTCTCTGTTCGTCGATCCCTTCCGCTATGTCCGTATTCACATACACCCCGGTTGAAGATATACCAAAGGTCAGCATTCACATTTATATGCAGCGTGTCGTGCACGGCAGGGGTAGCTGGATAGAGATGTAACCGGTCATAGATCCACGCGCAGGCGCGTCGAGCGTTCCTCTCGGGCAAGACCAGGTCCATCTCATTCCGCAAAGCCCAAATCGCGCAAGTTGGCTATCTCATCAAGGATAACGAGCAACGCATCAAGAATGCCTTGAAGCTCGACCTGGGGCGTCCCGTGTTCGAGAGCGATCTGTACGTCCGCGTCACATATTTCCTTCGAGGTCACGCCCCCTCATCATCGCCACTCCCAGCTTCGACTTCATGTGCTTGTACATGGACATACGCGACGCCTACGATAATGTTGGGGAGTGGTCCAAGAGTCAGAAGCCCCCCTTCAACCTCAACTTCTTCGTGATGCGCCCGAGGCTTAAAGCCGAGCCAAAGGGCATCGTCCTCATCATTGGAGCATTCAACCTCCCCTTGTTCCTCACGCTCTCTCCTCTGGTACGACGAAACCTTGACACCGCCCTTGTAAGGCGTCGTCTGCTGATACCACGCTGCGCATAGGTCTCCGCTATCGCCGGTGGCAATGCTGCTGTGATCAAGCCTTCCGAGCAGACACCCGCACTCAGTGCTCTCCTTGCCGAGCTGGTACCGAGGTATCTCGACAACGAGTTGTATCATATCATCAATGGCGGACCGAATGAGGCTACTGAGGTGTGTTAATTTTTGATAGGTATACGGCCGCACCTGACGCTTCTATTATTGTTTACTCAGGTCCTTGAGCTCCACTGGGACCACAGTACGTCTAGGAGATATCTGATATATGTTAGTCTCGACTGACACGTTCCTGCAGTTTTCTACATCGGTAGGACTATTTTTCATGATACGTTAGCTGTAGCTCAAGCATGCAGGCAACGGGCGCGTCGGGCGCATCGTCGCCACCGCGGCGGCGCAACACCTTACCCCGGTCACCTTGGAGGTAGGGTTTCGCGCTCTTTATCATTTCTCATGTACCTGAATGGTCCTCATACAGCTGGGAGGTACGTAAAGTTCTGCCTTGTGCAAGACGCCCAGGTAGTAAACTCGTTTTGTAGGGAAGAATCCCGTCGTGGTCGATGCGAAGTGTGATATCAAACTCGCTGCACGCAGAATACTTTGGGGCAGGTTCTCTAACGCTGGACAGGTCTGTCCTCCCTTCCCCCCGCGGTGTTTTCTGCTAACTGACGGCGCTGCAGATCTGCATGTGCCCGGAATACGTCCTCGTCTCGAAGGACGTACAAGGCAGGTTAGTGGAAGAAATGCTAGTTTGGTACGTTTCCGCAGTCAGCATGGGCTCGCTTGAGTGATAAAGAGACGGGCGTTGACATATACCTCAAAGCTACCGCTCCTTCTATCCCGAGGGCCCAGAGAAGTCCGACTCGCTCAGTCGGATCATCTCAGAAAAACATACCGCTCGCATCAAGGCGATGATCGACGGGACAAAAGGTGTGATTGTCGCTGGAGGCGAGGTTGACATCTCGAAACGCTACGTTGCCCCAACCATCGTGAAGGATGTTCTCGGAGATGACTCGCTGATGGCAGAGTGAGCCGCTCCCTGTGGCAGTCTGCGAGTATCTGACCGCCTACCGCAGCGAGATTTTTGGACCAGTACTTCCTATCGTTCCGGTAGAAAATATAGACGAAGCGATAGCTTTCATTAACGCCAGGTCAGGACATCCACTTACCCTGTTGAAGCGAAACCATCCTGACACATTCGCAGGGACCACCCGCTTGCCATCTATGTCTTCTCCCAAAATAAAGTGTTCCAAGATAAAGGTAAATTCGAGAGGAGGTCCCCGTCGGCACCCTTCGCATACTGACAGCATCTCTCACAAGTATTCGACAACACCCAAAGCGGTTCCATGACTGTGAATGAGACAGTCCTCACCTCTGCCGGTACGCTCGATGCGAGACACCTTCTCTTGAGACGCGCGCTAAGGCTGATATTACTTTTCCAGTCCCTGGTCTACCGATGGGTGGTGTAGGCAGTAGTGGGCGTGAGTGCTACGGAGGCTACTGCGCCGATATATCCTCAAAGGGCCTGACCTGACCTGACCTTGACTAGACGGGTACTACACTGGCAAGCAGGCGTTTGACGAGTTCACTCATCTACGCATCTCCATCGACAACCCGGGATGGTATGTCTTAGACTCGCTTATATAAGTTCTAGCTGACTGTTCTTCAGGGCTGACAAGATTGCGCTCGGTTTTCGCTACCCGCCGTACAAAGTGAGGCATGCTTCGCTCCATTACGTGCCCTTGCGCTCACCAGAGATTATTTCCTCATCATTACTGACGACATCATCTATAGCCTACCAAAATGGTGGCGTTGCTCGCGCCCGACTTGCCGCCCCGGCCTGTGGATGGGAAGCCGGTACCATCGAGGAGATGGCTGTTCTGGCTCGTGATTGCAACGCTCGGCGCTGCTTCTTCGTTGTCAACTGTGCTTGGCACGAGACTTCTTGCACGGATCCTCGAGGTTGTATCTCTTCTGGGTCGAGTCTGACCACTAGATCTGTTTTGTGCATATCCTGCTGGTGCTATATCCAAAGCATTTGTAGGCGTGCAGTGGTGAAACACATCGACGCCGTGCGTGATCCGGCTGGTATCTGGATGCTGTTTAGGCACTGGCACTCCAAGATTTCGTCTTCGCAATGTGGGCGTTAGGTGAATTCGAAGTCCCTTTGTGGGCGCGCTTGGGAATTTATCGGCACAATCACTTTCCGTGTGTCAGCCCGTCAGCCCGTGGTCTCCATGCGCCTTACGGACGTTGATAACCCCTGATTCTCCCTGGCCGCTGGCGGTATGAGAAGCCGGCAATCCATAAAGGCAGCGCCAAACGTCTTCACATCGTTACGTCCCCTCCCGCTCACACCGTTTTACCAGACAAGGCAACATGTCATCCGCCTTCTTTACTCCTCTTGAGGAAATTCCCAAGGTATGTCGTGATCAGGATTCACGTTTAGTTCTGCTACTCTTCCTGATCTCGTAATCCGAACAGATCCATGAGCGTGCGCGACAGGCGTATCGCACAGGAAAGACGAAGTCCGTTGCCTTCAGGAAGGAGCAGATCGCACAACTAGGCTATCTTTTGAAGGATAACGAGCAAAATTTCATCGATGCTCTCAAACAGGACCTCGGCCGCCCTAGCCTCGAAACGATGTTGTACGTCAACTTTGCATCTTATCGTGGGCTGGCGTACACACGAGAGGACTCATTTGCGACATCAGCTTCGACTTCGCGGCGGTCTACGTTGAAGTGCGCACAGCGTACGACAATGTAGAGAAGTGGACGAAACCGCAGAAAGCGGAGTTCAGTTTCAATTTCTTTGCCATGAGTCCGAAGCTGCGCGCGGAGCCGAAGGGTACAATCCTAATCATCGGACCCTTCAACGTCCCCGTCTTCACGATACTCTCTCCCCTGGTGAGTTTCGATCCCTCGGCTCGATTCTTGCCCTCACGATCTATCAGGTCGGTGCTATGGCCGGAGGCAACGCTGCCGTCTTGAAACCGTCCGAGCAGACACCGGCCTACAGTGCACTGCTCGCAGAGTTGTTTCCACAGTATCTCGACAACGACCTGTACCATGTCATCAATGGCGGTATCCCCGAGACGACTCAGGTAAGCCCTTTGACCACAAATGTCCGGCCTTCCTGACATACACTTTCCGGCGTCAGATTCTGGAGCTTCAATGGAATCATAGTACGTCCCGTAAATTTGCTTTACTATGATATGTGGCTAACGAGTCTCTCGCAGTCCTATACACAGGTATAATATGGGTACAAGCGTTATCTCAGCTCCGCATATTCGCTGACTCCCCAGTGAAGGGAATGGACGTGTAGGGTGCATCATTGCTCAAGCGGCTGCGAAGCACCTGACGCCGTTAACATTGGAAGTGAGTGTACACACCTTGTAAACTTATAATGCGACGCTGACACTCATTGTGTGCAGCTCGGTGGTAGGCTTGGTTACATCATGTGCGATAGCTCGACGTGACAAATTCTGCGCAGGGAAGAACCCTGTCGTAGTAGATCCTAAGTGCGACCTCAAGGTGGCAGCTCGCCGTATCCTGTGGGGTAGGTTCTCGAACGCAGGGCAGGTGCGCGTATTTTTACCACTGGGTAGCGCTCTGCATTAATCACGTTTATACAGATTTGTTTAGCTCCGGAGTATGTCCTCGTGCCCGAGAGATTCCAGGACGAACTCGTCGAAGCGATGAAGGAGGTGTAAGTCTTCAACTTGTGTATGGCCAAGTCGGTGGCGCGATGGGTTCTCACAGCGCCGCAGATACGAATCCTTCTACCCCGATGGACCTGAGAAGTCCGATTCCTATAGTCGCATCGTGTCTGAAGCCCATACCGCACGCATCAAGAGGCTGATCGACGAAAGCGCCGGTGCTATAGTCTTCGGGGGTGCGGCTGATGTATCACAGAAGTACATAGCGCCGACGCTTGTGAAGGACGTCAAGAGCAACGACGCACTCATGCAGGAGTAAGTGTCTATCTGCCATGATTGAAACTCAAGTTCATCGTTATCGCAGGGAGATTTTTGGCCCTGTGCTCCCAGTCATCCCAGTCAAGAGTATCGACGACGCAATTGCGTTTATCAACGAAAGGTCTGTTATCCTGGCACCGGTGAGCTCAAGAATACTCATAGATAGTTCTTGAACAGGGACCATCCTCTGGCGGTCTATGTCTTTTCCGCAGACAAGGCATTCCAGAACAAGGGTATGAACCCGTCGCGGTGTTCGCCGTAGCATTTACTATTGACACGGCATCTTCGAAGTTTTCGATAACACGGAGAGTGGTGCCGCCGTGGTTAACGAAACTCTCATTAGCTGCGGCGGTATGTTCAGTCCACATCGGCAGCGCCAAGAGTGCTGACGCAGCGTGCAAGTTCCGGGCTTGCCCATGGGTGGCGTCGGTGCCAGCGGATGTAAGCTATACTTCTAGCATCATTCTGACGAGAAACTTGGTGCTGACAGCGTGCGACATGATAGACGGCTATTACACCGGGAAGCACATGTTTGACGAGTTCACTCATCTTCGGGTGTCCATCGATAACCCTGGATGGTGCGTCGCAAATATCCGGTGCACAGCTAACGCACACTCATTCTGATGAGAATACCTCTGATCACAGGGTCGACAAAGTCGCCTTCGGTTTCAGATACCCTCCGTACAAGGTACGCGCCTATGTTATGTCCGCGACTCCGCGGGCCCAGAGACTGCTATCCTAACACGCACTCGCAGCCGAACAGCTTGAAGCAGATGCAGGCTCTCTCGCCCACGCTTCCATCGAAGCCGGGAAAGTGCCCAAGCCACTTGGCAAGCGGGAAGAGGTGGGGTTTCTGGCTTGGCTTTGTGCTCATTGGAGTAGCGTCGCTCGTGCTGACCGGGCCGGCCTTGAGTTTACTCAGTCAGTCGAAGGCATAAGCTGCACTTATCCTCGTTTCTGCGTACGCTCATCACTTGCTGTGAGTGGAGCGTGTCGTTCTTACACTCGATGCATGGAGGAATGACTATATCCCAGATGCGAGGCGTGTTCAAGCTTACCATGTAATGTCCGCTGTACCGGCGCTGCGCTACGATTCAACTGCATGCCAGTGACTGGGTGCATTGCGAATGGTTTTTCTGAATAATACTCCTTAGTGATGCACGAGCCCCTCTGTGTTCGTATCCGGAAAGCATGGCCATGGGCGTACTAACGAATCTGGCCGCAGCCTCACCTTCTTATCGACATCCTTGGGCGAACCAGACCTCAAACGCTTTCATAACAGCTATCGTTCCTGCTGTCGATGAGAATTTATCCGGCGTCGCGGCATGAGTACTTCCTGAAAGTGTCCCCCATACTGTTCAACTCGCGGAAAGTGATCATTGGTGAGGTGGGTCTGTGCAAAGCTAGGTGGCCAGGGTATGCCCATTGACGGTGGAACCGGAGAGAGTCGGCGCAAGAGCCGAAGCCAGCTTTAGCGCCATACATCCCCATTTGGGACTTGAATGATAGGCGCCCTGCACCTTCTCCCGCCGCAGTTTTGAGCGAGTGAGACTGGAACATGCTATTCAACGCCTTGCAGAGTACGTGCGGACCTCGTATGAAATCGAACGCAATGCGGTCGGAAACGGTAGGTTCCTCATCATTCTGATAACCGTACGCGCGGCTCTGACCTGAACCGCTCTAGATAACGGCCGCCACCTGGGTCCACTGCGAGAACTCCTGGCGGATGAGAGCCGGAAGGAAATCAAGAGACCGGTTTGAGCCCTAGACCCATGCGGCGGACTCACTAAGACCGTAATTTGAACGCCGCTCTCATGCTGGACTACAACTAATACCTATCGGGGACTCTCAAACACGGTTCAGCTCAGCTCGGTTCCTATACTGCGGCAAACGTGACCTCTCTAACCCCCCGAGGCAGCATGTGCACTATCCAGGACATGTACTCGATACGGACACTCAGAGCGCCAGACGTGGTGGACAGCGGGGATCCGCGTGTATGTCGATCGCGGGGCTCTCACATAAGTACGTGTGCTGATATCATCCCGTCTCACAAGGTCTCACCGGGCCAAGGCTGGCAGCGCTCAGGGTCTACTGATATAAATATCGGCTGAACAAGTGAAAGGCAACGGAGACGACAACTCAGAAGCTCACACCTCAGCCTGTCCTTCTACCCTGTTGCTTTCTGCCTGCTCCTCCCTCATCACTGGATTACTTGGGTCGGGCTGTTCACGATGCCCTGGCTTACCAATGTCGCACTCTCCTCCGTTTTGGCGCTACTCCCAGCTATTGTATGGGCCGTATTCTGGCGATCTACCACGACGTCTACATTCCCAGGCCCTCGCCCGATTCCCTTGATCGGAAACATCCTGCCCGCTCAGCGCGTTGAGAAGGTTCTAAGTGCTCTCGGGGAGAAATATGGTACGCGGATCTTCTTCCGTTTCAGCCCTGGAGACACTCACTCACCATATCTACCTATGGTGTAGGCCCCATATACGCTCTCAAATTCTTCCGTACACCGGTCCTTGTGCTAAACAGTGCCTCAGTTGCGCGAGACCTCCTGGAGCTGAGATCCTCGAAGTATGCCAATCGGCCGTTACCGAAGATCGTCGAGATGTGAGTCCCCTGTACACGCTACTGCCACCGTGGTCGCGTGCTAAGCAGCGCAACAGGTCAAGCTTCAACCGTGGCATCGTAATGGAACACGATCCGGCACGCCTGCGGCTGGGGAGGAAGGTCATCCACGCGATCGGGCAATCTCGCGGGATCGAAGAGTACAGAGCACGAATCCAGCACTATCTCGCTACCTACCTCAAGCGCATGCACGATAATCCGCGGACGTTCATGCAACATGCCAGGAGGTAAGCACGCCCTGTTCAGTAACGCGCGCAATCTCTCATAACCGGTGCAGCCTCGTGGCGAGCACGACTCTGGAGATGTCTCATGGCTATGAGATACAGGGCGAGGACGACCCGCTTCTTTCTGACGCTCGGACACTCGTGGAGAACTTCAGCCATGCGAGCGACGCTGGTGGATATTTGGTCAACTGGATACCATTTCGTACGTCCCTCTGCGCGTTCACGAGAATTTGGCCATTCAAAGTCGACCCCGCAGTATCAATATTCCCCGAGTGGCTCCCTGGAATGCAATTCAAGACCAGAGCGTATGAGTGGGGTAGGCAGTACAACATGGTGTCCCAGAAAGCGTATGATTGGGTCAAACGTGAAATGGTGCGCAGCTCGCCGCAACTACTTGGAACGAGCTCTGATCTCTGTCTAGGTCAAAGGCACCGCACGTCCTTCAATGGTAGCGAAGGCGCTTGATGAAACTACGCGCGACGCAATTCCTGAGGACGTTATCATGTACAGCGCTGTGCAAGTGTATACGGGTGAGTTGCGCTTGCGTCAACCATCGCGCCAGTACTGACCTTCATGCGCCATAGGCGGTGCCGATACGGTATTTCACTCACTGCTCTTGTTGCAGGCTATTCGCTGATGTCTTGACAGACCTCTTCCACAATCTGTGGATTTATCCTCATGATGGTCCGACACCCAGACGTGGGGAGAAAAGCACAAGCCGAGATCGACCATGTGATAGGGCGGGACCGCCTGCCTACGTACGCGGATCGCGACAAGCTCCCATATACCAACGCCATCTTATCCGAGGTCCTCCGTGTGATCCCGCCTATCTCAGCCAGTAAGCCGTATCATTCTTTGTCTACCATCATCACTAAAGAACGTGGCTTCAACGCAGCCTTGCGCGAGCCCAGCGAAGACGATGTGTACGATGGCCGCTACATAGCTAAAGAGACAATGATCATCGAGAATATATGGTGCGTGCGCAATCCTCGGTACAGATGAGCTACTCAAACAGTCGTGGCTGGGCAGGGGCATGCTCCGCGACCGCGACGTGTACCCTGACCCCGACAAATTCGACCCGGAACGTTGGGTTGATTTTGATGGCAGGCATGTGCACCACCCGCTCAACATCGTCTTCGGGTTCGGACGGCGGTAAGCACGTCTGCTCTTCGTCCTAAGGGGTCACGGTCATGACGTAGGTCTCTAGGAGCTGCCCCGGCCGTGTCTTTGCAGAAGAAATGGCGTTCACTGTTGTCGCGCTCATCCTGTCGCTGTACGACATCTCCAACGACTGCGACGCGAGCGGAAAACCTATAATCCCCGCTATGGAGCAGACCACTGGGAGCATCATGTACGTGCTCATCTCGGTGTTTCTACTTAGGCGAAGCTGCTCTATGGGACTGACTTATGCCTGTGAACAGGTTTCCGCTGCCCTTCACTTGCAAAATCACTCCTCGCGATCTCCGTGCGAGTGAGCATGTCGAGAAGTTCTATGCGACCTACTATCAGGCGCCAGGGAGTGTCAATGCAGTGTAGGAGGCCGTGGTATTCGTTGCGGCTTTCGGAAAGCTTGCGTCTCGTCCAGTCTCGATTTCTAGTTTACGGGAATGTACTCTTAGTACGTCGCGTATGCACTACCCTGTTTTGATTAGGAGTCGAGTTCGTATCTCGAAGTCGCACTCGAAGTTGCACATAGTACTATGCGACGCGTAGACGCGGAGGATTACAAGCCGATTTGATACAGCGGATTTTACGCAGGATCAGCAGCCTGAGCGTCCTCAAATGCCTTGATGGCGGCCTGGGGAGCGTCCGGACCAAAGAATAGTCCCATATTCTGTACAGTCAGCGCCGCAAATCTCTCCACTCGCACAAACATATTTTCCTCCCACGCGGCAACTGCGTCCTCCCTCTCTTTAAGAAGCACACCTTTCGCCACCGCGTCGGCCAGAACAAGCCCCAGCTCGAGACCGTCGCGCATCGCGAGGTTCGCACCCGCCCCGGCAAACGGACTCATCAAGTGGGCCGCGTCACCGATGAGCGTCACCCCCGGCGTGTGCTCCCAGCGATGGCCGACGATTAGGTGGAACAGAGGGCGGACGTAGATCGCGTCCTCGTCGCCCTGCTCGATGAAGCGGCGGACCCACGGCGCCCAGTCCGCGAACATCCCGCCCAGCACCGCCTTCGCCGCCTTCGCGTCGCGCGGGAGCGTCCACTCGAGCGGGTTGCGCTGCCAGAAGTACCCGCGAATGCGCCCGGTCCCGTTCCGCTGGAGAACGACGACCTGGCCGTCCTGCGCGAGGTAGCACGAGCCCTTGCCGACGCCGTTGCTGATCGCGTGGTTCTCGGGCAGGGCGGCGACGGCGGGCGTCAGCGAGATCTCCGCGCCGGTGATACCGTGGTAGAGGGGCACGGCGGGGGAGAGGAGCGGGCGGATGCGCGAGTTCGCGCCGTCGGCGCCGACGACGATGTCCGTGACTGTCACTGTGCCGTTCGTGAACGTGAGCTCGTGCTGCCCACCCTCAAGCGGTCGGGTGGAGGCGAGGGCGTGGCCCCACTGGACCGCGTCCTTGGGCACGGCGTCGAGCAGGATGTCGCGCAGGACGTGGCGGTCGATCTCCGGGCGGGCGTTCCGCAAGTCGTCCGGGTCCGCCTCCGTGTTGTCGTGGCGGAAGACGGGCACGCCATCCTTGCCACAGATGCGGCCCTCTTCGGCGTCGCGGCGCGAGTACTTCTTGAAAACGTGCTCCATGCCGTTTTCGCGGAACGCGCGCTGGCCGGAGTCCCACTCGAGGTCGAGCATGCCGCCGAGATGGGCGCGGGAGTTGCTGTCGAGCTCCCGCTCGTAGAGCGTGGCGGGAACGCCGCGCTTGATGAGAGTGAGGAGAAGGACGAGACCAGATGGGCCGCCTCCGACGATCGCGATACGGGGTTGAGCTTCCGTGGATGTAGCGGACATTGTTCAAAGATGTTTGGAATGGAGTAACGACGCGAGCCTGAGGGCCTTCTGGACGAGGCTTGGTGCTGGCTGAAGATGATATCGCCCTCCATTTTATGTCGTTCCTTGTGACATACCCGTGCGCAGGAAGTCCTCGCCAATAGACGGCCGAACATTCGCTGAGATTATAGGATGACGATATTTCTTGCCGTTGGTACTGCCCGTGGGAGGGGTTCTGTAGCTGCAAACAGCTATCTGCCCTGTGGGGGCTACAGCTGCGTCCGAGACTCGCGCATGTCGCGCAGATATTGCAACGCGGCTTTGATCAGCAGTAATGCCTCTTGTGTGAACCTGCTCTCACACCCGTCAAAGAAACGACGCAGGCCTCCATGCACCATGCAAAAGTACGTACTCGAGGAGTTTCAGTACCGGTGAATGCTTGATTTGTTTCATAATCGGTTGGTGCACGCTGCGGCCGCGCGCGGGATAAGAATGCAGTTCTCATGCGGACCGAGTCATTGCAACCTGCAATTGGAAGTCGTGAGTACTATCACCCAAGAAGCGTCTCCGCAACGTCCAAAAGACGGTCTGATCTGTCGTTCATCGCGGACGAGACACACACCTTGGCGAATAGAGCCCGTTCGCATCAGGGTCCTGTTGTAGTTTCGATTGCCTAAGCATCTGTGCTGGCATGGCCGACCCGCAGCCCGAAACATAACACTGTTGTGGTCAGCGGTCATGGGAGACGCCCTTTCCATTCGGCATGCGCGGAAAAGCGGGACAGGGATACCAGAGACCATCTTCCTCCACTCCTTACAGAGGTCTGCGTTCACCAATACACGGCAAAAGGCGGACACACTTGCTCGAGGGCCAGATGCAAGGACACGACGGTCATACGTTGCTGAGTAAAAGGTGAGCACGCAGTGTACAGCGATGCAGAGGAGTACGAAATGGTCTCACACTATACACAAGCCGGCGCGACATCGAGCGCTTCTAGGGCGGCTTCCGGGCCACGGGCGGACGCGACCTGCGCCCACTCCATGGCAGCGGTGAGACGGATGGAGGCACGACCGCGGCTTTCAGCGACTGTGCGGAGAGTCTGTACGGCTGCATCCGCATCTCGAGAGGTATCACCATTGGAGGCACGCAAGGCGAGGTTCTGGCCTAGCTCGAGGCCAAGAGCAGCGCGACGCTGGTCATCCGCCGGTGCCCTTGAGAGCGCGGATGACGCGTAGTGGATAGCGTCGTCCAGATCCTCCGAGCGATGTGACAACTGGAATCGGTAGAAGAGCGCAGTGGCCAAGTCGCGCTCAATCTGGGCTTCGAGGTGTGCACCGCCACAGAAAGCCCTACGAGCAAACTGCAGCTGTCGTATGCCTTCATCGACTTGGCCGATATCGTCAGCGTGTTCCCCGCGGGTCGCGAGTGCAAGCCCATAAGCGGCCTGCGCAGGATAGTGAACATACGTGCCCGTGATGAGGAGGTGGGTGGCGATGCCGAGACGCTGACACATTCGTCGAGATCCTTAATATC